TATGCATACTGTATACACATATATATATATTATATAGATAGGTCATACAGTACAGCTTGTTTTCAGCTTCCATGACCCTCTCACGATCTACTCTGGCAATGGAAAATGAGAATCACCATCTTTCCATGGGAAAACGCAAGACACTTATCTTAAAAGGGATCATGTCTTAATGACCTTTTTTTTATTCTGGCAACCCAACAAAAACAGAATATACCAGAAACACTTGCTTTGATTTACATGATAAAAATGAGAGTTACGCGACTTGCTGTTCTAATCTGCCAAAAGAAATGGTCGAAGTTTGATCCAATGATGGTGAAGTCACCAAGCAGTTCTATGGTTTCACAACGGTCATTACTACTTAGAAGACTTCTCCCCAAAGAAACCTCCAAGAAACTTTGGCGCTGTGGAATGCTGTGGATATGTCCATTGTCAGTGGAGTCAATAGATCGGATTATTTCTTGGTAGATGGGCTGGCTATGGCTTGGTTCACTTCAAATATTAAAGACACACCTCCAGATTTTGTTCTCATGTATGATATATATATATATATATATCATTGTCAGAACCAGCCAACATTCATGCAAAATCCACGAATGGCCCGGTGGACCCCTAGTCTGCACAAAAAATCATCCCTTTACAAACATGTCCATACTGAGCAGAAAGTTGCTGGATGTATGTCCAGTACTTGTAAAACTGGCTCTCGGTCAATGCTCATCCATCCGTTCCAATCAGTCTACCTAAGTCCGGAAAATGAAACATTATGTAACATTGTTTCGTTTTACTCAGGTAACTTCAACACACCCCAAGTAAACCATATCTAATGTTAAAACAACAATAAACCACCCATTTGGGAATTGTTACCTTTTTATACCACATTAATTTTGTGGTGATTTCGGGGATGCTTTATGGATCTTTATGGCATTGTTCCATGAATTTTACTACGATCTGCGGATCGCCCAGGGACGCTGCAAAGGGCGGGTGGTCCCCGAAGACGCACCACAACGCATAGGGTTCCTCCGAATCTTCCGGCACGCGCACCGTCAAACGCACCTTGGATGGGAAAGCCATTAAAGAGTGCTGGTCACCGCAAAAACTGTCAGGTTTTTTGCATGGTTAATTTCAAGAACCATGTGGGAATCAAACAAACGATTCACCTTTACGCGTCGAAGATGGTGTGATTGTCCATTGGTTTGATTACTCTTCAGTGCAACTATCATTGCGATGTGTGGAGCCCCGAGATGCCAAAGGATTTGCGTGGCTATGTATGCCTGGATTCTTTGGGCACCATGGGTTAATAATCTATACCAAGGTTCGGTTTCTTTGGTTAAACCAGCTCGCAGGAGAAATGTCGGAACAACACGTGGCCCTTCATTTTCGGCAAAGGGCTTCCATGATCTCGGGGCATGAAGATTTAATTTGCTTTAGGGTATCCACTTACCCTCCGGTAATTTAACATAACTATGGAAAATCACCATGTTTAATGGGAAAACTCACTATAAATGGCTATTTTCAATAGCTATGTTAGTTTACCAGAGGGTAAACCATACCCCGTGTGGGGAATTCCTTATAGCTGCAAATTCGCCAAAACATGGCCGAGCATCGGTGGTTCCGCCTCTCACTGAGCCCCTGGAAGGTGAAAATGCCTGGCGCGGGGATAAAAAAGGGGCTGGTTGGCACATGGGTCGAGACCATGGTGAACATAGCCTCTGGTAATTTGTTACATAGCTATTGAAAATGACCATTTATAGTGGATTTACCCATTGAAAATGGTGATTTTCCATGATTCTCCATAGTTATGTTAGTTTACCAGAGGGTACTGGAAATGAACAAAAACGGGTCGTTCTTTTTGGATGTTCATCTCTCATTCTTTTTGGCGCCGGTAAGATCTGAGCCATATCAATACAACAATGCGCTCGAATGACACTAAGAACATGTTTGTTCACCCCATGTAATTGGCAAGTAAGTATATAAATAACCCATGTGAAAATGTGCACCAATCACCATCTATAATTGCAGCCATCAAACCCACTCGAAGCTGTTCAGGCTGGAATAAACATCGTGGAGAAGGACAACCAAAGTCCCAATCGTATACCGACGGTTTGGGTTTTGGACATTCCCAGGCCCTAGGCGTTCATCCAAAAACCTCAAATGCATTCAAATGTTAAATACCTCAAAGTCTTAGAATCGAACTATATTTATGTCTATGGTTTTGATTCACTCCAGGTTACCCCCCAAAAAAAAAACTCTCAGAATACTTCAGATTTTTAAAAACTAAATAAATGACATTTTTTTGAGTCAAGCACCACCTCCGCAGGTGCCTTGACCACAATAAGCATCGCAGTGGCTTCCAGGGTCTCCAGTGGCACCACCCCCAGACCCATAGGCAAAAGCTCAGGATCAAACGCTGGCCTGGAAGTGGCGGAAGTGGCGGTCGCTGATGCTGCTTGGGGCCAAACAAGGGCGTTTTTGTTGCTCTTTCTTTCTTTCTTGGTCGTTTTTTGGTTGCTGAACTCGATTTACAACTTTTACAACTATGTTTTTGTAGGATAAGTGGTTTTTATATGGTTTTATCCATCGAAGTGCCACAGAGATTGTATCCAGCCAGGTTGCTTCAGGATCGCCCCCAATTTTGGTGGACTCACCGGGAACCCCAACTATGACCAGGTAGGATAAACATGGAGAAAGCACAAAGTAGCCACCAACCATTGTATCTGACAAGCCGTTAGCAGCTATATATATATATATATATATAGCATGTGCCAAGTAACACACTGAGGATGCATTCAAAAAAATGAGGAAATTTTATAAAGCTACATGCTCACGAAAATTGAGATCTCGTCATTATGACCATTCAAAAAGTGCATTGGCTCCAGCAAAACTTGGCGGCCAACCCCACACATCTGGGTAAATTAGAACTATACTCACCAACTTGTCACCAATACACATATTATTATGGGGTAAATTGGGCACCCAATACTGGATTGCCTTATGTCTAAACACAACCAACTCAGTTTCAATTAAGAAGTTTTAAAAAAAATCAGATTAAGTCTGAACCATATCCTTCCAATTGCTCCATAGACTTGCTTCGCTGCCATTTACTCCAAATAGATCCAGATGAGCTGAAATCATCCCCAAAAAAAAATTATGAACCCAAACAAAAATTATTTCCAAGTCCGGAACATCATCTAAGCCTCTAAGCCCATAATATCGAATACCACCTTAGAAACACCAAGCTGGCAATCTGGCAAGCTGGCAAGCCACGGGCCCACGTCCGGCGCGGGCGCTGGCACGTTTCCCAGCAGGTCCTATGGCAGCGTTATGGGTGGAGGTTTGGCACCCCGAGTTATACAAAAAGAACAAGCAATGTTTGAAGGTGTATCTGCTTGTCGGTTCATAATGCCCATGAACTCTAAAAAATATCTATACATCTTCCATTTGCGGTTCGGGCTTACAACCTGAGTGCAATGTAGCATCAGTGGTCAAGCATGTCACAATCGGGAGTGTCAATTGGCCCCTATCATACGCAATATGGTCAGGTGTGTTTTTGTTTTTTTTATGCAAGTGGTGAACATTTTAGGCCTTGGGAACCCCAAAGGTGGATAAAGGTGGATGATGTTGAGATATTTGTGGCATCAACCATCCATTGTGGCTGTCACGATGTCCCAGCATTGGATTGTAGGATGCTTACAGGAAACCTCGTGGTTTCAAGGTATCTTTTTTTCTGGTTCGTTCCCTAAAGATCCACTATTTTGGCCGTCAAATCCCCATACAAAGGCCACCATTTCTATCCAGATATTCTTGTGTGGTATCAACCCTCCATATATTATTCCCATTCGATTCCCATTAGATTGTCATTTTGAATCATTCAATATTCCCATTATATATATATATATATCATCTCATTACATAGACCACTACCTACTACTTGTTTTAATAAACAAACCATTTTCGTGCACAAACATAGGGGTTTCATCCACGCCTCAATGCGATCGCTCGACTCCATCGATGGGGCGGCCGTTGGTTCGTCCTCGCGAGATTTTGGGACTATGTCGGACGCCTGTTTCAGGTGGGAAATCACTGCGGAAAACATGCCGATTTAACCAACAGACATATTATATGAAGTTTAAGGGGATCTATATGGACTTCTTGGGTGAGTTCTGATAGCTAAGTTGGCTCATAATTTGTTGTTAAGTATGTTGGGTTTCTGGGGATATGACTTGATATGGCGAACTAGATATCCTGGGTTTAGAGACCGACTTACAATAACTGTGGGACTTCACCTTGCAGGAAATTGCATTCACATAGACGCTGTCCCGTGCTTGACAGCCAGTAAATTTCGTTGTAAGTAATGATTTGGGAATGTAAAAAATCAAATGCCTTCTGATATCATCAAACGTGGCTGGCAAATGTGGCAATGGAAATCCTCGCACTTTTTACGGGCATTCAAATGGGAAAATCATCGTTCATTGAAGGGTGCATTTTCCAACACGCCATGTTCGATTTGCCTGTCGTATCCATGCAGGCAATTGCAATTTTGTGTGCAAATCATGAAGTACATGAACTTTGATGATAATCCGCTGGATCTGGGGTGCCAAATATGCACTTCGCACCCCGAAATAATGTACGACTCAAGACTCAAGACTTGTTTTTAGCCCTTGAGTGACTAACCCATAGGATCCATGGTGCTGGTATATATGCTAACATGACTGGGGTATATTGATGGGATCCATGTTACCATATATAGCATGCACCATGGATCCTATGGGTAATGGTCCACTTGCGGAATCTTGAACCGCAACAGAGACGCCGCAACAGGCCGCGTTTGCCTCTTGGAACCACCAAACGTCCAGCACTGGGGAATAGTAGCTGAAGAGGGGTCCGTCCAAGACGACCTGCCGTGCTGGGAGATAACAATGAATCATGGTAGGAAACATGAGCTATAACAAGTAGTTCTCAAACCTGAAAATGCTTGGATTACATGTATATATATATATATATACATATATATATATACATATGTATTTAGATAGTTGCCATGCTTGAATTGGCTGCTTCTTTCAATTGAGGGCCTAAAAAAAACCATTGGAATCCTTACAAGACATGACTCATTTATGCAAGTGATTTTGGGGGTCCCCAATTTTGAGAAACCACCATTTGGGATGAATTACCAGCTATCACTTCCGGTGGGCAGCCAGTGAGGACGCTGATTCAGGTGCATCAAGGCTGATCAGGGGCATCCCATGATATCTGACACTCATCATTTCTGTATTCGGCTTAAGGATTATCCCCAAAGTTGGCTAGCTGAAATTCTCCTCAAATGTTGTTTAAATTATCCCAACGGTCGTCAAACTGATCTATTTCCTAGAAAAAAACAAACACAAAGAAAAAAGAACAACACAACCTCTCATGACCAAGCAAAAAGTGCATAATTTATATGTATCTGGTACTGGGACTGATCCAAACCATCTGGGATTGGCATGTTAATAGATAATTGACTGCAATTTCCCAAACACAAAAGATGTGAATCAGATTCGATGCTTCCCCTTTAACTTCCAGGTTTCAGCTTGTCTACCTTTAATCATGTAACGGTTTGCAATGGAACATCACCCTTGTTAAGAACGGTAAATCAGTTTTTTATCATCTACATCTGGGCCGTTTTCCCATAGAAAAGGATTAAATGACCAGAGGGTACCGTATCTATAGTGAACTGGGTTCATAAATCCATCATATGCCCATTCATAAATCTTCATAATTCATGTTTGCGTTATATTCTTATTATATATCCCCGAGGATCCAAGTGCACTTCAGTCCCTAGCTAAAAATCAGCTACTTCTGGTAAACATGAAATCGTAGCTCTTTTGATATCTGTTGATCCTCAGGGTACACTCCAGTAATATTTCCCATTATATACCCATTACCCTCTGGTAAACTAACATAGCTATGGAAAATCACCATCTTTAATAGGTAAACCAACGAACTAAATGTGCCATTTTCAATGTCGCAAACTGTTAGTCATTACCAGAGGGTCAATCACCAGACAGTTTCATGAAATCCCATGAAAAATCTCTAAATCCCTTTTAAAATCATCCATTTTTGTTTTGATTTCCTTTGAACATGGTGATTTATAGTGGATTTGCCCATTGAAAATGGTGGATCTTTCCATAGTTATGTGGCTGTTTACCAGAGGGTACCAGAGGGTACCTATTTGACTTCCATTGAAATAACCATAGCCAGTGATAGATCCGAAAAATCGGCGCCTGGCCGCCCGGATCTTCCAAACGCACCGCGGCCGAGTGAGGCAGTGAGGCCTGGGGATCTCACTGGCAATTTGGGATTCCCGACCACAAAATGACAAACTTCTTTCTAATCTGCATATATAAATATAAATATATATATATATATATATATATATGTGTGTGTGTATGTGTGTGTAATTTATATATATATATATATATATAATGCATATATATATAATTATATATATATGTGTAATTTATATATATATAACAAAATTATATATGCATATAGGAGAATGACCAATTGAGAAAGGATAGAAAGGGTAATTCACGTAGCAAACATGAGGAATTCACCAGGAGAAAACACAGTGATGCATATACAATTTCAATGAATGAGGATTTCACACATTTGTACATGAATTACCTGTTTTTTGGTGGACAAGAATTCCAAGTTGTTGTGCCGTTCAAGGTCATCCCAAGCGCCAAGATGGTTTAGTGACATCATTTCTTCCAATTGAAACTGCCCGAAAAAATGGGAGTAAATCCAACATTTCAAGATAAACCAAGATAACCCATATCGTATTTTTTTTGTTGGTTGTGTCCCCACCATATCGGCATTTTGGGGTCAGAACCACATTTCCCTCATCCAGGAATTCGTTATCAGGAAAAATCACAGAATCTCAGAACACCCCCCCTGCTCAACGACAAACAAAAACGGATTTCCCATGATTTCCCTTTGCTTTTTCGAGTTGAAAACAAAGGCTTTGACAATCTTTGACAGTTGCAAACTCCATCATAGCGTTTGGATCCCAGTATTTCACACTATTTCACCACATATACTCACTCTGGCCGGTGTTCTCCCCTGGCGACAAGTTGCCACGGGCACCCGACAGCGCCCAAAGGAAGGTGAAAGTGCCATCCTGCGGTGTCGAAGACATGGCAGGAACACGGGTCCGGGACCATTGAAAAACCTCACAAATCAAGAAAATAATAGAAAATAGATATGACATGATATGTATAGTGGTAGGCAATGGTAGGTAGAAACCAAACTTTTGGCGCAAATAGTGTGACAAACCCTAAAGCTTCTGAATCTTATGGGAAATTTGCGGTATGAAGCAAGAAAACACAGGATGAAGTTGGTGGATTCAGCTTATCCCCAAGATATCATTGCATGGGATAGTCGGATAGTCAACCAAAATACACATCCTAACCTCTCTAAATCAACAGCCAATCATCAAAGTGGAGCCAAGATCCAATCCCCATTGAAGAATATGATGCTGGAAGGTCAATCCGCAGAGCAATGGTAGAATTATCGATGCTTTACCCGTTTACCTCGCTACAGTAAGCCATAGAGTTTCATGAGTTTATGAGTTCTACAACTTCTTCTACAAAAACGTTACTGTACATCAGTTCATCATATTTCATCACTATAAGAACTGGCCCATAAAAAGAGTTTGATCCCTGCATCATCCCACAGCAACGGGAGCGAGACAAGGAACAGCGGGGTGCTCAGGTCCCCGATTTCCGTGCCACGCCAGGAGCAGTGATACGGCACCCGCGCTAGGACCTGGCGTAAAAACAGCGACGCCATTGGCCACGCCATGGTCCAATGGTGGAAAATGATGAGGAAAACTCGTGTCCAAGCTGTACCCTCTGGTAATTTAACAGTTTGCGATTGAAAATGGCCATAGAAATAGTGAGTTTTCCCATTAAACATGGTGATTTTCCATAGTTATGTAAACGTTTACCAGAGGGTAAGTCTGCCATATCATGCCATATCTCAGTATGGACTCAATGAAAAGTATCGTTTCGGCCTGTTGCCCTTCCTTGATTCTTTAACTTCCCCATCACTGGGGTGGCGACTGGACATTACCCCCTGGTAGACTGCAAACAAATCGTCATGCCAATCGATATCTAGCGCGCTATAAAACATGATAAATTATCTCCATCCAGGGTTCCATCAGCAACTGATGTGTCAACAATCAACAGTGTTTAATGCCTCTTATATGTGTGTCTCAAAACTTTGAAGCCAATTCCATCCATGGTTTTCCCTGCTGAACATGGCTTTGAGACGAGACACACCATTTGGCGATAGATAGCGAACACATCATTATGCATCTACACTTTCGTCCCAGAACCTGCCTCGAAGATTGGCGCATGGCTTTTCCATTCCTGAGTGGCTCACCGATCACCGAGGATCCTCGAGACGTCTGCCGAATGATGTGGCTAGGTATCATGCAAAGATCTGGCCCACCCTGCAAAAAGAAACCAAATCTTGGCGGTATATCGAATAAGTGTATCCTGGACCAGTTGTCGCTACAAATAACACATCAAGGCTTACCTAAATCATGATTGTGGCTCAACCATGCGGTCAAGATGGACCGCTCTATCAAGTGGTACTCTTTCATCTGAAATCTGCGAGAACCCACTGGCTGTTGGCATCTGCCACTCCATTCAAACAAACACAGCATGCAATCCCAAAGTAATATTCCTCTTAGCTATGTGCCCTTACATGTATGGTCAACTTTGGTTTCCCCTGCCTCGCAGAATATTTTTTCTGAATCACATGTCAATATACTATCTTTCAGGAAAGGGCCCATAGATTATAAGTTAAATTAGTTTACTTATATAATTCAACTTATAATACCTTCCGCAACTTGACATGAGTTACCTTATTACTGACTACTGTTATAACTTCAGTTTAGCTTGGAAGCCCCTCGCCATTCAAACGCCGCTGTGTCAAGCGTCTAAGAAGACATAGTCCCCTACGGGGGCGCTGAAGGGAGGTAGGGCTTCAATCACCTCGGGTTGTGCAAAGGGAGTCTCTTTTGCCACAATTGCAGTGGGTGACTACACATGGTAAGGCTGGTAAGGGATCTAACTTCAGCAAAAAAGTGGATTGTTTGAGCCAAAAAGGAACTCAGTGGTCAGTACCTTAATATGCTGGGTTCCTCTTTGACATCGATTGCTAAAGCGAAGGATAGCTCAAGTCAAACGGGTCCCAGGCAATGTCCCGCATCATCATGCCGTATCACCCGTGAATCTAGTCATATTGGGCTCCCGAAAAAAGGGGCATAACGGGATTCACTGAAGCCTCGCATGAGCAACAGTGACTATAGCGATTGCACAGTGATTCTGTGGCCTGGAGCGCACTGCACGGCAGATGCAGCAGGGCTGAGAAACTCGAGTCGCTCTCGTACACCACCAAAATCAGCGGGTGAGATATGCACGCCAAGGGGTCCCGAATAAAATGTTTAGCCGCGCTTGCTGCCGACACGTCGCACAAAGAGGAAAGCTTAGCCTGACCTTCCAACCTGCTTGTCTCGCCTGGCCTTGAATGAGCTGCTGGAATTCATGGGTCTGGTCCGCGCAGTTCCTTCTGCATTGCCAACTCAAGATGCAACCGTGGAACTCACAAAGCCGTGTACGGTCCGAACTCGGCTGATGAGCAATTCGACAAAGCTAAAGATGCAATACAAAAAAATACTCCAAACATCTACTATGAAGTTACTTGCAGGAAGTTACTTGCAAGGTATGATGTGAACAATTGGTACATGAGCTGTCCTCAAAGTGCGTCCTGAACTGACGCATGCCAGTGCTCCAGGTGGAACGAACAGCTGTGAGAGTCCAAACCCTGGGATCCTGGCACCAAAATAGCTGATATGAGGCAAATCTTTAATGGCACAATTAAATTGGAAGGATAATGGATGTGGCAACACATAAACACACACATACACATGTATATATATATATAATTCAATATAGATGTTGACATATGTCGACACATCGCTAGGTGTGGATAAAGGTCTTGCAGATTTAAAGTCCTGGCGAAGGGGAAGCGGGAAGCACAAGAATACATTGGGGGTTTGCCAGCCTTGTGAGGGCACAGCCGCAGCCAGTGATGTTGGAGACCGAATCAGCCATCCGCTTGAGTAAAATGTTAAACCCAAGCATCTTGACATATACAATACTATCACCATAACCACCCAACATCTCTTAAGTTGATGGCTGGATTATGTTCAATCATCCCATACTATTTATACTAGTTATCATTTATCATGGTTACATGATTACCAGTACTTTTTTTTGGCGTAAGCCACATGAACCATGAAAATACCCCTATCCCAGCTCATGAAATACGAGGTGGTTGAGAATGCGTTCCCTAAATCACCAAAAAATACAAAGAAACCAGGTAATATAACTCCAACGTCATAGCCAATCAACAAGGGCATTTTATGGAACTTCCACCATTTATATAGTTGATTGCTCCCATTAAAACCTCCGTTTAGTTCGGCGATTTTCCTATAATGTCCAAGATATATCCATATATTTTCCTATGATGTTCATTAAACATCCATTTCGTCCGGGCATTTTCCATCTGTGCCATATGTTTAGTGACCCTCGATCAACTTTCGAGGGACAGGATCCGTCGGAGGGGCTTCGAAACGAAAGTCCTCTTGTGCCATGATCAAGATCCTGGGGAGATGGAAATGATTCATGCCATGCTGCACAATAGAAGTGGTAATCCCTTGGAAAAATGTCTGTGGTTTCATAGGGAACCAAGGAAACTTACGATTTGTATATTATATATATATTTATATATATATAAAACGGGATTTAAGCCAAGAAACATGATGATTTCATTGGACTTTAATGGACATTAACCAAGAAGTACCAAGAGAAACAAAGGGTGTTATGTGGATAAAAAAACTGATATAGCTGATCTATGAAAAAAGTTATATAGTTGATTTATGATAGCTGGTTTATAAGGAGGTCAACTACGGTGCATCGTATGGCTGGATTTCAATATCTACCAACCAACTCATACCCACACAAAGAATGGGGCTTCAATAACACATTTTACATTGGCATTGATGGGGGCTGACAGGTTACAATAATGAGTCAATAAGCTTGAAACAGAAGGCCTTATTGTCGGGTGTATGTGACCTTTGGGCCTTCGGGGGGGGGGTACCCTCAGTTGTAAAACTGGCAAAGTGCATCATCCATTGTCAGGTTACCCGGCACCAGCACCGTTGGGGATATGGGTCATTACATGCATGTAAAACATAACAGAGCATACAAATACAAACCATCAAGAAACAAAGTTTGGAAGTTCATCCCTCAAATTTGGAATACCTTTGCATATGCGCGTGCGCAGAAGCAGCTGCAAAAGAAATGAATTACTTAGAACAAATGAAGCATAATGATAACATATCCAGCAAAATGCGCTACAAACAATGAAACACTTAATTGAGCACCTTAGATGCCTGTACTATCCACGTCCCTATGCTTCTCTATCGAACTTCCGCATAATGATGCCAGGCACTTCTGGTATATCTCAATAAATCCCAATTATATAGAGGAGGTCATAACCCACACAAACACAACCTGGCTAACCACGCATCGCTGATTCTGGCAGCATAGACCCTCTTGAAATTTGACATCGCTATTATGGAAAATCACCCATTTTAATAGGTAAATCAATTATCAAATGGCCATTTTCATCATTTTCCATAGCTATGTTCAATGATTTTGCCATAAATTAAACCTCCACAGCTGTTAACTGATGTACCAGCTCGCCGTGTTTGAGGATGAGTGTATATCATATCCCACAGAAAAATGCCATATTTTTCTTCCAAAATTATCCCCTAAACATCATTCAACCATAGAATACAATATCAATTGATTGCGAAAAACAAATTAACCCCCATGAAATCCTATTACATCCCATTAAATCTCATGAAATCCCTTATGTCTGGTTTTCCATGTCATGATGATCCAGATCTATCCCGCCTCTGGGTGATGTTCACCTCCGTTTCCTCCAGCACCAGCTGCAGCTGCAACGTACTCCGCGCCGCCGCGTCCAGCGTGGGCGCGCGGCAGTGCACGGATCGTCCGATGGCCGTGGCAACTGCGGAGCCTTGCCTGACAGCGGTTGGATTTTTCATTGGTAGAACCTACAGTTACTGGGATTTTATGGGGATTTAGTGGGATTTTTTTGTAGTTAATAATGGTTCATAATGGTTAATAATGGTTAATAATGGTTAATAATGGTTAACCAAAGGTGGTTATGGTTAACCACTATCGGAATTTTAACCATAACTGGTTGGTGCTTGACCTATACCCCTCTGAAACATATGCTCGTCAGTTGGGATTATGACATTCCCAACATATGGAAAGTCATAAAATTCCATGGTTCCAAACCACCAACCAGTTATGGCCCAACTAAGAGTTATATAATAAATGGGATTCTGGGATTATGATGGATGGGATTATAATGATGATATAACCTTAGTTACAGGAGTTATTTCATCCCATTTATAACTGTTAAGGGCAATAACTGTATGAAATTCTGTGAAGATAATGCGATTAACAAAAAGGATAGACACTGGTGCAGGATTTTATGTCTATCCACGTTAGTCCACTTTGTATGTCACTATTTGGATGTAAATTTAGCATCACGTAGTACTACCTTTTTTTAATTCATTGCATACTGCAACAATTAGTGAATTATCATACGGAACGATGTTTACTGCTATTTGCATAGCAAAGAAACAATCCCAATGACGCATTTACCTCTGGCTTACTTGTTCGTTATCACTACGATGTTTGGGAAAATAGGTCATTTGACTTTCAAGGTACAATATTACAGTAACAGCAATCGTATTCACTTATAACTTATTCCAGTAATTAACTAGTGAGCGACTCATCAATTTACTCCTTTTGGGCACATCGTGGCACAACCCGTGGTCAATGGAACAAATACTACTACACATATATGAGTAGTAGATAGTAGTAGTATTCTATATGGTTTCAAATCCTATCCCACCAAAAATCAACTACCCCTTCCAGCTTCTGAAAGAGGTAACATTAGGGATCATTAGGGAGACGGTAAGCCTGCCAAAAGTTGGGGAAGAAATTCTGAAGGGATCCATCAACAGCATCAAACCAAAATACGAACGGTAAATTACAGGCAACCATCACTGGTTGGTGGTTGACCTACTGTACCCCTCTGAAAAATATCAGTTTGTCAGCTGGGACGATGACATTCCCGATATGATGGGAAAGTCATAAAATTCCATGGTTCCAAACCACCAACCAGTTTTTATATCTTTTTATGGTGTATGGTTTCTTTAAACATATATGTCTTGGACCAAGGATGGGATGGTGATTCAATACCCCCCATCAGAATCGGGATTTGGATCCATCAACCAAATATGAGCATGCGACCAAGCAAGTCAAGAAGTGGAAGACCACAACAGCACATCAGCACATCCAAAAAATTGATCGATGGAAGATCTGGATTGAAAAATCTGGACTTCCAGCCATGGCAGTTTCAATGTTTAGGAACCCACTTTGTTTTAAGGGATGCGTTGATGATTTCTATGGTGATTTCTATGTTAAGAAAACAAAGGTCCAATGTGTTTTAAACATAATGATGATTTCAAAATGCTTGAAAACAGTCTATGTTGGAAACTATGTGTTGCATGAATCACTTTTTGTTTCTTGTTTCCACTGGGGTTTTGGGGCCTTGCCAAAAGGAGGACCACAATCGATTGGGACCCCATCTCTGGGCAAATGTTTTGTTGCTCCATTTTTTTGCAGCTTATTTGGAAGCCCATTTCTGATTTAATCCTAACCCAAATGGGGTGTATGACTCAAAATTCTGGATCGCAAATGGGGCTTCTATCCAACCCCAAAAAGAGATAAAATCGAAGCGTATCGCAAGAAAATGAATCCAGAAACCATCTTGGTCATGTTAAGTGGCTATAGTTTTTAATCCCATTTGCCAGCCAGTATGTATGTATGCATGGATGCATGCATGTATATATGTATGTATGTATGCATGGATGTATGCATGGATGTATGCATGGATGTATGTATGTATGGATGTATGCATGGATGTATGCATGGATGTATGCATGGATGTATGCATGGGTGTATGTATGTATGTATGCATGCATGCATGCATGCATGCATGTATGTGTGCGTGTGTGTATCCATTTCTAGCAACCAAATAAGTTGTACTAGACTACTCATCCAATGAATTTCCGCAGGAGACTTCACCCCCAGGCCCATCGGTTTGTCGGAAAACGCCTCCCGAAGTCGCAGCGTAGCATGGCGCCCTGCGGCACCGGCACAGCCAGATCCAACGAGAGCGGTGTGGCGATGCCCAGCAGGGCTTGTTCTAGGCCGGCAGGGGAGGTGGTCCCCTGGGTGATTTAACCATGAAAAGTGGCATGGTTTAACCAACAGATTAATGAGGCTTCATGCAGCTATATGATGATATATGGTGATTTGAAAGGATTGATATGGATTCATGACTTAAAAGGATTTATGAAGATTTCACACGGGGGAACTATAGGATTTGGCCAACAAAAAATGAGGTGAAATTCTTACCTACTATTGAAAAGATTTATGGGGATTTATGGGGGGTTGACCCAGTACTATTTTGACTGTAGTTATTTCGTGGTTAATTCATGGTGGATTAGAAGAGGCCCCATAGAATTGCAGGCTTTAGCAGCCTAACGTAAACATGGAGGTTTAACCAACCAAATTGCTATTTCATGAGCCAAAAATCGGAATTTTTGCCATTGGTGAAACCAAGCAACATTAGATTGGTTGTCATAGGTTTTGATAGATGTTTAACAGCGATCAATCGGACGGTCATGGTAGATAGATCCATGCTTAGACGGGATAAGATAAGCCAACAAGAAACATCGGCCGGGCAGTTCAGATCTTGTAGGGACACATGTCTTGTTTACCCTTCAGAACTAAGAATTCCTGTCTGAACCGGGAATTGGGCCGCACTAAATCACCACTTCTCTTCATTAAATCCTCATTGTTTACCCTCTGGTAAACATGGCAATAGAGAAAATCCCATGGAACATCCAGCATTTTGGGATGCACTTCCCGTGAAAAACACATCTAAACAGCTCCATTTGAAGGTGATTTTCCATACCTTCCGATGATTTTCCCATGATTTGCCCTTGCCGTGATCGCCGCTCCGAGAGGCTGGGCGAGACTTCCAGCACCCGAGGCCGCAACAGGAGCTGCCTGGGGGAAGCTGGGTGGGTTTTTTCAGCCTGGATGCAACCAAAAATGACCCAAAAAAAGATCGACCAGATAGAAAATGAAAGAAACATAACTCAGCTTTAGCATCACTTTAAGATTCCGATGTCACTTTTCGCAAGTTTTTGGAGGGAACTATACTTGAAAACGTGAAATGGCGGGACCAATTTAACCCCAATATTAATTCAGGGCAGTTGATAGGAGTGATATTGGTGATGGCATTGGTTGAATGGTGGTTGATCGTAGTTGATTGATGTTGATCGCATCAAACAGCCCTGAGCCCCAAGAAGGGTTGCTTGATGGTTGGCAGCATATTAAGAATGCAACCCAACACCCAAGCAGCCGGTGTCAACCGTTGGTGAACTTACCAAACCCAACATATTGCGCTGTACTCTGTGCCACGGTCTTTGAGATCAGGTCTGGGCTTGTTTTCCCCTCGTTGGTGATTTGTTTGGCCAATGTGTGGAGGCCAAGATGTAATTCACGCATGTGAGCAGTTCATAATCATATTCAATATTCTTACTGGTGCTTAGTAGGGAATGGATCTGGGCAAATTATAATAATTCACTAACCTGAATTAAGCCCATTTGGGGATGATTTCCCTTATTAACTATGATTCCAGTGAGGTCGCAGTGAGGTCGTTATAATTTACCCAGATGGATGGGACTGGGGGTTGCTGGAATGATTATTGATACTGATTATGGATCATTCCCGAAAATTCCCTACGTTTAGCACCAGTAAGTATTTTCCTCATCAAGGTAGAAATCCAAAAGTAACAACCCACTCACCCAAACATCAAGGATCATCCAGAAACCCAACCGGCCGTGCCGCCATGGGCCGATGATGGGTTCCCCGACACATCCGCTTAAAGGTGGTGACCTCTCAGTTATGTTGGTCGATTTAGAAGCCCAATTAACGCCCTCTCTCTCAATTAACATAATTAACTATACGGATGTATCGACCATAGAGCAAACATTTATATAACCCATATACTTATTCCACCAACTTTGCTAACAAACTGGGGCACTACCATCAAAACACCATAAATTCACATGTTTTGTTAGTTAAATCCCATGAAACACAAGTTGAATCACATCTTCTGTTAGGTAAATCAATCTCTTTAAAATCCCATGGGCATTTTAAAGGGGCTTCACTAAATTTAACTAACAGAGGATCTGAGAATCCACGTTCCATCCCCGAACCCTCCCAGTTTTCCTCGCAAGATGCAGATCGAAGGCTGGTCCGATCCTCTCCTCGATACCTGCGTTGCTGAAGATCAGCTGAACACGCACCTCGCAAAGCTCGGCGCAGGGTCTCCGTTCTTCGGAAGGGCTACAATGGTGATTTTTTTGCGACTAACATGGTGTATGTTATGGTATGTTACGGTATGCTAATATGATGTTTGATTGAACTAATGGGATTTTAGCAACAAAAATATGGATTTACTCCTTTTTGAAGGGAATTTAGCGAAAAAACTGATGAACAATAATGCATATCACCAGCCAAACTGTGGTTAATTCTATCAATGGATTGGCTTAAGCAACGGAAATAGTGATCTTGTGGGGACATACTGGGAATATCATGGGCGTAATTTCTGGGGGGTATCATGGGGAAGTATCAATGGATTTGTTTAATGCAGAACCAACGGCAAACCATTAAACCGCCATTATTTTTTCAGCTGCAGGGGTTCCTGGAGAAAAAAAACATACTATGATCCAATCAGGTGGCATACGGTATGCCAATGTCAGTGTGGTATAATGTGGTGCCCCATAGTTAAAAGTTGGTTTATAAGCCCCAGTAACTATAGTTATAAGTACCATAAACCATAGTTATTGGAATTATAAACCAACTTAGCTATCTTGGGGGCCTCACATTGTACGGTATGCCAATGTCAGTGTGGTATAAAGCCATATCTTTCTAGTTTTGTTCCGATTTTAAAAATTGGCTTTATCACATTGAACTGGGCACTGCAGAGCTGCAAGGAGCCGTCATGTGAAACATGTTTGGGGTTGCCACATTCTTGTGCTGCCACAGTATACATTTGGAGCCTCAACAACGAGTTTTGGCAATTCTCGGGTATGGGTCGCAATGGGACACCAAAAGGGACGGCAAATTTGGTAATTGTTCTTGCGCCACATTCCACCGTCCATTTTTCTCCGTTTAGGTATATTTCGACATATATTGAACCATATTTCTAAGCAACTTACAGGTAGCGATTTTCACCCAGCCACACCCCCCCAACCCCACCATTTCACAGGCAGCAAAAGCGCCTGCAAACCTTTGTAGCTACTAAGGTCCACCTGGCACAAAAAGGGCCACCGTTCTTCGCGCACCTCATGCGGCAGCTTGTGCAGGTTCCATGGAATTTATAGGGCCCCCAATTAATGATGGGACGACCATTCCCATACTTCTTCCATAAGATCAGAAGGAACCCCAAAAGTATGGGAAACTTCTGGCAATGAAGGTACCATCATGGAGGGTCAATGGAAACAACTGGGTGACATTCCCATAAAATCTATAACATCTATGACAGGCTTCAATGGTGTCAATGGTGAAATTGCCACATTCGAATGGTGTTTTTTTCCCATGGGAATTGCAACTGAAGTGGCCACCGGCAACCCACCCGGCATCACCGAAGGACCAAACGCGCAGCGAAGCGGAGCGTTTCCACTTCGCAGAAGAAATTCTGCGGGAACAAGCGCCCGTAGTCCAGCAGGCCTGGCTCCGACTCGTAACTCGTAACTCACTCGTAGCTCGAAGATCGGCGATATGACCCAGTCAATTTAATGGGATAGCCAAGAGTGATACCAATTTGAGCACCAACTGCAGCCCAAGTAAAATTGCATACCCCTTTGAAATTTCATTGAATTGTATCTTACTTAGTCTTGTTTTTGTCCATAAAGTAAATGCCCATTTTCCCAAATAACAAAAACATGTAAAATCCCTAATGTGGCAAACCCAATTTAACCCAATACCATAAACTATCCCCAAATGGTAGGTTCATTATTGGCTTTACCACACTAACCAAAAGGTTTCATTGATTTTTCCAATACGGTAGTTCTCATCCTTTTTTCCATAGGTATAATCCCTACAAATCATTGATTTTTCCATAGTTCTCATCCATTTTTCCATGGTTCACATCTAGAATCTCATGTCTCAACTCGAGTTGAGGAAACCCTCTCCGTAGCGCGCTCGGCTCCGCCGCGCCTGTCCCGCCGAAGCGCAAGGGCACTTGCTCCGCGAAGGCGCTCATGGGGGCGAAGCGAATGGAGCTGCGGATGTCGGGCAGCAACGAGGGGAGGAGCCTTGGTTGGGCCGGTGGTGGACCCCGAGGATTTTTGGTCCAAAAATGCCCAAAATATGTGAGATCTTCATAGATCATCAGATTTCAATGGGATTCTACCATGAAAACATCTGTAGGAAAGCCATGGGGTGTTTTGCTTGAAATCGGATGAGAGCCTTCCAAGAAAACAAAGGACATATGTCCAGGGCAACGAAACGCCCACCTGACAGATGGAGTCGATAAGATATGTGCTTTTCCTTTCGGCCCCGTTCTATCCCTTCCAATGATGATCACAAACGAAAAGACTTCTGAAGTTGTATCTTAATCAGATTAAATTATATGATATTTAACTGATCAGAACATGTTCGGAAATAGTTTTTTGTTAATAAGGTGTGTTTAATGATTTTAACTACCAAGAGAACATGTGATGAGAACGGATTTTGATGGGATTTTAATGAGATTTTGATTTAACTCACAGAAGAAGATGTGATAAATTTGATTTTCATGATTCATGGGATTTTAATGGGATTTAAGTAAGAGAAAAAAAATCCCATGAATTTAATTTTGATGGTTATTTAACATGGTTTGAAAGGATTTAAGTCACAGAAGATGTGGTGAAATTGGATTTCAAAGGGATTTCACCAGCAAGAATTGGGATTGGAGTTGATAAAAATATACAAGGTGGTGCCCCCCAAGTTATAAATAGGTTATAATCTCATTAACTATAGATATATCACCTATAAACCATAGTTATTGGAGTTATAAACCAACTTAGCTATCTTGGGGGCACCACCTAGTAATTGTTTCATGACAACTAAGTTTTCAGAGGTCCAGATATGCCTGGGTGAATGATGGTGTAACTTTTTTATCCAGGTACCACCTGGCATTGGGTCAAAACCGTCTGGGCATGATCTCATTCACTGCACAAATCATAATCATATGGTAGGCCAGGTTAGTATAAATTATCATAACTTAGATCCAAGTGAATTATTTAGAGGAGGCTTCTAGGGTATATCAGAGATTTTATTTGACAGTGCCAAGTGAAAGCAACGGATCCAAGCCATGGCTTCTACCTGAACAAAAACTAGTCAATCCTGTGCTTGGTGTCATGGAGATACAATGTGGTGCCCCCCAGTGATGTTTGTTGGTTTATAAGCCCCAGTAACTAGTTCGTTATAAGTACCATAAACCATAGTGAAATTGGAGTTATGTTCACCAACTTAGCTATGGAACGGGGGCCTCACATTGTACAATGAAACACGGGTCCCAAAAAGTCCTGGGGCTCCTCACTGGGAATAGCCACCAGGCCATCCATCAAGTCCCGTCATCCTGAGGTAGCCACGGTTGAGGCACGGCAAATGCCATGGGTTTTTTTATCTCAGAAATGGTACATGCACCACCTGGGTAAATTATAATAATTCACTAACCTGAATTAAGGCCATTTGGGGATGATTCCCCTTATTAACCATGATTTCCAGTGAGGTCGCAGTGAGGTCGTTATAATTTACCCAGACCATGGTTTTTTTCTGGCCATGTTCAGTTTTTTTTCTGGCCATGTGACCTTTGCGACTTTGAGTTTTTTTCGAAACCACTGGTTCACCATGGACACCGCAGATCGACGGAAGCACTTATCCGACAAAGACAGAGCTGGGACACAATTGAAGAACAATAGCGCTGATATTTTGATAATATGAGATGCACTTCTTACTTATTTAAATTCTCAAAAATATACCAGCTGCAGTAGTCCCCAAACTTGTGAGTGCGCAATCTGAGTTTCTGGTAGCTTTGGGTTGTCCATGCATTTTTTTGTTGCTTGCTGGCGATCAAACATAATTCGTCTTTTTTGAACGCGGAAAGACATCTGGAGATCCTGATGTTTTCTCTCGCTTGCTGCTCTTGGTTCTTTGGCTTCGTTTCTGCTGTCCTGCTGTGTGCCTGTTCTGCTGTCTTTCCGTCCTTTCTGCTGGTCTTTCTGCTGCCCCTTCTGCTATCTACACGATTTGTTACATGGCAGGGCATCAACTACTAGCGAGTGATTATGCATGAAACATCTTACTACTTACTATATATATAGCCATGCATAATCTCCACTATTTTGCCACTGAATTCGCACTCGAACAAGGGATATCCTTAGCTTGGATGAATTCCCAATAACTTTTCTTGTGGACATCCACCTCATCACCTCAAAATAGGTTCACCATCTCGGTATTAAGTAATTAAATGCACCCCTGCCAAACATCCCTTTGAACAAGATAAACAAATATTGCTGCGATAGCCAAATTATATTTAAAGAACCTAAGTAGGCGTAATCGATGCCAATCGATGACATATGATGTAATTATATAAACATACATCTTCGCGCACACACTGCAAGGCACAAGGCTTTTCCACATGTCTCAGCTCCATGGTTGGCTTTATTGTCAAAACCAGTGTGCCATGCAGTTTTGGCTACCGATCTTACAGAAACAATGTTCACCGATAGCTTCTACGCATTGCTTTACAGAGGCTTCTAGGTTTTGCGACCAGATCTTTGCATCGCGACGAGTACATCCAACTACCCAGTACTATAATAGATATAAATATATATGTATTTATTTATTTATTTATTTATTATTATTAGTATTATTAGTATTATTATTATTATTATTGTGTGTGTATTTATTTTTACTATCTTAATATGATGTTCACCTGCCCCGTGCAACAAACCCGCTGGGTCCTGTAGAAATCCGCCTCCGGCAAATAGCGCCGGGAAATCCCACAGGTAGCGCCTGCACAGGCGCTGTCCTCCTGGATGTCCTGCGGGGCCCAAAAAGACTGGGAATCCCCTCTGGCAATCATAGCAGGCTGCAAAAATATGACCCATTTCTCTGTGATTTTCCCATAAAAACCATTGAACACCTTCATTTGTGGGAAGTTTCCCCATGATTACCGGAGGGTAAATGGGGCAACGTCGGGTACAAGATGAGACCCTCGATTATGATAGCTAAGGTGACGCACATAAAAGTTAACCTTTGGGTTTATGGGGATAGAGCCAGAGTAAATGGGGTTGAATACACCAACTTATAGCTGGGGGCCTCATCGTGTATGTCATTCATTGTTAATGACAATATATTCATATGGAATTTGTTTTTATGTTTGCATCATTTTGCGGGAATAATTGCCACAGCAGAATTCAGGAATGTTGCAAATCTATGTGTTTCTCCAGCTTGGGGGGGGTCAAAAACAGGTTTCAACTATCGTTCTGACCTGTCAAATCTGTCAGGCCGGCAGGCCCTTAAGCTGCGCTGGGGTGCCAAGTGACCGAATCTCTATTTTGATTATTTTTTGTCTGATTGATCTTCACATGGTTTAATTGGTTGATTGACTGGTTGGGTTGAAGGAACATGTTCGAGGAAACCATGGATTTTCTCCGGAGATCTCCCGTAGAGGCGAGGAGTTTCCCGCTAAAAATGTGACCGGTGACTGTGTACAACGTCAGAAACTTCAAATGGACCCTGCAGATATGCCGCGAGGCACCTGAAATCCTACCTCCAAATGGCCATGTTCATTCCAACATAACCCATATGCTCCATGGTGCTGGTATATTTACCTACAAAACTGGGTGATTTTTAGGGCAAATGTAGGTAAAATTAGGTAAATATACCAGCACCATGGTTCGCATATGGGTAAGAGATTTCCATGTAAACTTTCAAGGGAGCACCGTAGTTCTCCATGCCTACCATCGCTGCAGTCCTGATGTTCAGGTCGGTCAGTCAGGATGAGACTCATTTTGGATGTTGTCTGCCTCAGCAGGTCTCGGCAGGGGGATGCCGGCAGCTGGTTGAAATTCTGTCCCAAATGCCTGGCTGGGACATACTCAAACGGGATCATCAAATTCATCTTAATGGAGTGGTTTAAGGATTTGATTTTTCAGGAAAGCCGGAAAGCCCCATAATTTATGGAAAAATCCATGGTTTCCTGTAGATCAAATCAATCCATTGAGATCATCTCATTTCTAGTGTTGAAAACACAACAATACTAATTATTTCAATCCACCAAGCAGCTAGCGGTCCGAAACACGAACCACAATCACTGGTCACTGTAGGTGCTCACAAAAGCATTTCTGAGTGGAAAACCTGACAAGTGCCCACTGATTTTAAGGCAATGAGGTGGTAGATGCGTTCATAGGAGTTTGATCCGCTTGTGTTGTGAGTTGCATTCTTTATCGGAGGTTTGTGGAGCCTTGCTCCTACCGGTGGTTGAAATCCATCCCCACGATAGCCACATAGGAACCATCTCGTTCAAACATTACGCTCTTGTAAACATACAAAAATCTATTGAAAATGGCAATTTATAGTGGATTGTCCGATTGAAAATGGTAATTTTCCATAGTTATGTTAGTTTACCAGAGGGTAAATTAAACCCACAGTTGTCCCCCTTCATCATGTTCAGTTGTGAACTCCCCGGTCGCTGAAGTGAATCTCCCTCCGCTGGGCAAACCACCAGGTTCGAAGGGGTGCCTGGTGGTATAATTTGCTTTCAGCCTGCGACATCCATACTTTGGTTGCTAAATCCCAAAAGGAAAACATTAATGGCTAAATGATGTTTAATCCTATCTGCTGCTGATCCAATCATTCAATACCCAATTGTTAGATACCTACCCTCTGGTAATTTAACGTAGCTATTGAAAATGGCCATTTAGTTCGTGAGTTTTCCCATTAAAAATGGTGATTTTCAATAGCTATGTTAGTTTACCAGAGGGTAAATCCCATTAATATCCCATTGAATCACTATTAAATCCCATTAAACCACCATTTTCCTATGGTTTTCCTATGGTTTTCCAACAACGTCAAGAACCCAACCCCGGTGAAACGCTGCCCAGTGGCACCAGAAGCTCCTGCCCGGCCGCCGCCAAACGAAAGCGTTGCACGCCCAGAGAGGCTTCCTGCGGGGCTCACGGGATGGTCTAACCAGCCTCCAGGGCGGTTGAATTCTACATGGCTACCCTCTGGTAAACTAACATAGCTGTTGAAAATCACTATTCAATGGCCATTTCAGGATCCGATTGATTGAAGGTACCTACCATATAAAAGGCCTATGTGAGGGAATATCCCCACAAAATATTGCCTTATATGGTACAGTACCTCCATTCTAGGATCCTGGAATTCCCATTGAACTATTTTTAGTGGGCAAATCAACTAAACATTGCAAATTACCAGAGGCTAATCAATCTGAAAACTTATCCTAGCTATGTGTACACATGTGCATATATTATCATATATACATATGTCAATGCCTTGCAGAAAACTGTAGCTATCTAAAGCTATATCTATATCTATGTATGGTTGTATTATATCATTATATCATCAATCTTAAATCATACGATAATATATATATATATATATCACACTCTATTATGTTATACATAGATAACTTAAGCTGAATAGTTTATATACACTGATTGCAACAAATAAACTAAGCGGTCAGTACAACTAGCCAACTATAGGGCTAGCAGTGCTTGTTCCAATGGGTGTTAAACTCATGCAAACATTTGAATGGGAAAATCCAACTTGGCAATGGAATAAGGCGATGATAATCTACATATGGTGGATGTTTCCAGAGAGTAGCTGGTGCTGGCAAGCCAAGATCATCAGAGAGAAAGAACACGTCTTAAGCAGTGACATGACCTGGTTGGTGGTTTTAATCCCTCTGAAAAAAAAATATGAGTTCGTCAGTTGGGATGATTCTTCCTGATATGTTTGTCAAAAATGTTCCAAACCACCAACCAGCTTATTTTCCGGGCTTAGATTCCAATCACCACTCTGATGACAGCTGAATATACCCTCTGGTCAACTAACATAGCTATGGACAATGGCCCATAGAAATAGATGGTTTACCTATTAAAAATAGTGATTTTCCATAGTTTTTTGTATGTTTACCAGGAGGGTATTGACAGTTGCAACCGTTGCCAGCCCCGGACGCCAGTCTCCTGCGGCACGGTACAGGAGATGCTGCTCTCATTGTGAAAGCTGGCCGCGCTGAACGCGGCCTTGAGGCCTTCGGAGGGGATGTCCTCACCTCGTTTCACGCTTCAGCCAAGAAAAGAACTGCCGGTGGCTTGTTACACTAATGGTATAGTAATCAATTGGAATTTCAGGATCCTAAAATGGAGGTACTGTACCATATTTTTGGCCATATTTTCTGGGGATATTCCCTTACATAGGCCTAAAAAATAGGCCTTATATATGGTAGGTACCTCCATTTTAGGATCCTGAAATTCCCATTGACTAATGGTACTTATTGTTAGTGGAACATCAATGGTATATGAATGGGATATGGATAGGGGATATGATATAGCTAATGACTAACCATGGTATAGTCATGGGAATATGAATAGTTTTTGTGGGTAAAACAATGTCATTTTTTACCATCCATGACTGGGAATGGTTTCTACATACCACCAAACAAAAAAGGGTGATGTTCCTGGGGGATGGTGGGTTTATGGCATTGTTTTACCCACATTAGACAGATACCAACCTTGTCAACATCTGGGAAGAAGAGTGTCCTAGGGACATCTTCCCACAAAAAGTTTAAAAAGGTAATGGAACGTCTTGCACCTCAAAGATCTCCGAACTGCACCATTAACCCCGATCGACCAAAACAACAAGGCGTATTTTACAACCAAGAGTAACAATGGGGGGAGAAACAATGCACTAACTCCCAGCACCCATATGCATCTGCTCAAAGATCTTAAAACGGTCAACTGGTTAGGAAAACCAACCAGATTTTTTGGGTTGAAACATGGCAAACATTAAAAGACAATGTGTGCAGGATATCAAATCATCGCACTTACCAAAATGACCCAAAGTCCATCATCCACCAAACAAGTTTATAACTAGGTCAGCTAGTAGCTAGGGTTTATGGTCATCTTAACTGTAGTTAGATGGGTGGTAAACAAACAGACACAACCGAAGGCCCCTTCCTACAATATCCTCATATCTGGCTGAATTACCCTCTGGTAAACTAACATAGCTATGGAAAATGGCCATTTATAGTGAGTTTTCCCATAAAAAATGGTGATTTTTTCCATAGCTATATTACCAGAGGGTTGAATCATTCACTAACCTGAAAAGAGCTGTTCTTCATCAGGCGGCCATTTGGGGATGATTCCAGAATACTAAGCATCATTTCGGTGACGCCAACGATGCCAGGACATTATAATTAATGCACAAAAATAATGCCCATGATTTTCCATGACCATTGTTAGTAGCTTCCATCTCTATTATATCTCCATGGTCATCCCATGATTATCCAGATGCTAAAAATAATCACCCATTATTATATAGGGATATCCATATATTATTATCAGTATATCACAGTATCCCCAATATCACCGTTATATGTGTCCCCACTAGAATCACCCATGTCGCCCTTGTGAAATCATTGTTGGTTGGTTACATCTCCATATTTAACTTTAGTTACTGTAACCATTGTTAGTTACATCAGTTACATCCCTATTACCCCCTGGTAATGACTAACATAGCTATTGAAAATGGCCCAGTCGTAATAGCTGATTTATAATATCCATTAAACATTGTGATTTTTTCCATAGTTTTTTGTATGTTTACCAGAGGGTATATCTCTACTGGTTGGTGGTTTCAACCCCTCTGACAAATATGAGTTCGTCAGTTGGGGTTATTATTCCCAACTGAATGGAAAAATAAAAGCCATGTTCCAAACCACCGACCAGAACTTACATAACCCATTAAACAGGCTGATGTTCCATCGTTTTTTGTATGTTTACCATGTCGGGTAAACCTCCATTTCCTATGGTTTTCCCAGGGTTTTCCTATGGTTTTCCTATGGTTTTCCTATGTTTTCCTATGGTTTTCCCATAATCATCCCCTGGTATGCCATGGATCTCCAGCAACGCTGGCCGCGCCAAGGTACCAAAGATGCAGCCAGCATCCACTGGCAGCCGCCGGCCCGTCACGAACAGAGGCTGCCCACGCGGCAACGGCACCATGGAATCTCCGGACCTCAAAGACGACAACGGACTCACAGTCCCAGGTTGCTGCCAACAAAGCCTGGAGTTGATCAATGATGTTGTGGATTTTCAGTTGATGTATATGTATATATATATATATCTATATATCTATATATAATAGAGAGAGAGAGAGAGTTGGTTTATGAAAGACAAGTTGGTGAAAATCAGTACCTTAGGTTAAGGATTGGGTTTATGGATATTTTATCAAAGTTAAGTGCGTTTATAAACCAACGAAGACAACTGAGGGAACACAACCTTCTGTAGAAACAATGTTAAAACTGCCTCATATATCACTGGTTGGTTGGTGGTTTCAATCCCTCTGAAAAATATGAAAGTCAGTGATGACATTCCCAATATATGGAAAGTCACAAAAAATGTTCCAAACCACCAACCAAATCATATAACTAAGGTCTATATTGAGGAGGGGTTGGGATTGTCAAAAACATACGCCTCTTGGAACCTTCAGATCCATCTGATAGATTCCAGTGTGCCAGAGGCACCCAACAACAGATGGCAACTTAGATGAAATGTGTTTGGGGGAGACCGTTGGTTTTTCAAGTATATGCGTTTTACACCCTTTTTGATCCTTTTTAATCAATATCTCAATCAAACACTTGAAACATATAGATAGAGACATAAATTATGTGTACTTCAATAACACTGTGTGGGTCCGCCGTAGATGCTGCACTGGTATGGCTGCAGGCATTCGTCCACCAAACTGTTGGAGCTGGGCTGGTGACCCGGTTTTGGACAAAAACCCACGTGACATGGCTACCCTCAATTAGTTTCTCTTACAAAAAGAATGGTACTATCTAATACTATATAATTGTATATTCTGTATAGTCCCCATTTTTTGAAAACTGGTATATAAACCATTATTGAATTACCCTCTGGTAAACAGCCACATAACTATGGAAAATCACCATTTTTAATGGAAAAACTCACTAAATAAATGGCCATTTTCAATAGCTATTTTGACATAACCAGAGGGTATATATATGTGTGTATTCCCCGTGTCTTGATCACTATTAAGCCATCAAATTCCCAAACTCACCAGTTGGTTTACTACCCAGTTGTATCAGTTGTATTGCCACCTTGGCCAGTGAAATCCCGAGTCTATCTTGTTAGATCAATAAGACATCAGTTTCGTTGGTCAAAATCCAGGTTTTGGTTGGCTGAACCACCATTCTGATTGGGGTAAGATCCACACTTTTGGTTGGCTAGATCAGAACAATCCCCTTATTTTAGGCGCTAAATCTCCAAGTTTGTGTAAATCAGTGATTATTCAAACACATTTTTTGTTTCCCTATTTTTTTTTGGTGGTGTCCGCCTCTCCAGGGCTCCGGGCAAGGTGTCAACCTGGACCATCTCCTGAGCAGAAATCATCATGGATTTTCCCATGATTTTTTAAACCAAATCTGTTGATTGCATGGATACAAACGGAGGGCCTAGGTCCCAGGTATATTGAAGAATCAGCGGCTTTACAGTAAATCATCTCCATATTTATCTGTAAATAGCTGGTATAAACCATCAATTTATATGGGTGCTTTATGGCATTGCTTTAGTAGCGAATAATCATATAGACAAAGCCATCCCTAAGCCCAATAACCATCCCTAACCCATCCCATTAACCATCCCTAAAACGGTGACTATCACCCAATATATGTAAAGATCCCTATCCCCCTAATTAATGTTAAACACACCAAATTCTATGGCCCCAAATGTGTGTGTGTGTGTTTATACCTAGTAGACCACGGTTTTTTGGGTCGTGTTGAATCTGAACGCGGGAATGGATTTGCATGGTATTCTTTGGTCCAGTTACTATGATGTACATGGATTCCCCTCCAAGTATTGCCATAGAAGTTAGTTTTTCACCCGAGGCTTAATATGAACGGGGAAAGGGATTACTCATTCAAATCGCATAATTTTAGACATGTATGTCCGTCTGTATGTCTGTATGTCTGCCTGTCTGTCTGTCTGCCTGCCTGTCTATCTATCTATCTGTCCATCTATATGTATCTATCTATCTGTCTGTGCATATATGATATGTAGGATTAAATGATTCTGTTTGATCCTCCAGAACTCTCACACACCAGTGAAACAAAATAGTAAATAGATGTAAATAGTACCTAAAGGTCATTAAAGGTCTCTCTAACATCTCTATATATATATGATATAAACATACCCTCTGGTAAACTAACATAACTATATATGGAAAATCACCATTTTTAATAAGTAAACCATCTATAAATGGGTCATTTTCCATGGCTATGTTAAATAACCAGATGGTAAACCCATCCATAAACCGATGGATTGACCAAGTCACCGGCATCACCTCCAGAAAGATCCGCGGCTCGCTGCGACTCTCATGGAGCCCATCGATCAGCACCTCCACGGCCACGCGCCCGGGGCCGATCTGAGTGACCTCGGCACCGGAACCGAAAACAACGAGGGAAAGCACGGGGAAAATGCTGATGCTTTGATCCAAAGATCAGCCAAGATCAGCCAATTCCTGATTTCATGGAAAAATTCATGGAAAAGTGGAAAAGTATACGCGGATTTCATGGAGAACAATGGGAAAAAAAGGGGGAATTTGAAGCAAACAAAAATAAGAGAACTATAGCCAAACATCACCAGACAGTGAACATTTCATGGTCTAACCATGTCTAACCAAACACCACAGAATTTCGGTCAGAAAAGCTGAGTTCTTTGATCAAGACATGGAAGTTTGATGGGAGATCTTCAGGATCCAACAGATGGAGGTACTGTACCATATAAGACCATTTTGTGGGGATATTCCCTGAAATTTAGGCCTTATATAGCCCTTACATATGGTAGGTACCCCCAATTTAGGTTCCTGAAATGGCCAAAGATGGAAGTTTGATGCAAGGTACGTCCTCCGAGGTAAGGCTGCAAGATGCCACACGGCTGGTGGACACCTGGAAGTGATTTTTTTTGTGCGACTCAGCCAATGCCATAAAGCAAGCCCAACATCATCTAATTTTTACAGGTTGAACGTTGCATTTGATCAGAATTAGCTTCCAGTAAGCCAACATAGACATGGAAAATCCACAGTATGTAGATTACCCTCTGGTAAACTAACATAACTATGCAAAATCACCATGTTCAATCCACTTTTTGAAGGGTGGGATTCCAACCATCACCAAATGGTAAAAGGGGAGTTGCAAAGATTCAATCAACCATTCCAACCATTTAAATCAATGAATGTTAATTAATATATCAATGAACCATCTCAGCCATATAAATCAATAATATACAACGGGATTCACCACCGGAGAAGTCAACCATCACTTTATCACCTTCCAAACATCTGGGAAAATGGGTTAATTGACAAGCAAAAAATACCAAAGGTGATGGAGTGAACCTTGCGCACCACTTTCGAAAAGAGAAGCAGACTTTGTCAGACATTTGGTTCTATCTACATGGCTACCCGGCTACCCGGCTTCACTACGGGGTACCATTCGCACCCAGTTTGGGGTATCATCTGGTATCATTGATACCCTCTGGTAATTTAACATAGCTATTGAACATGGCCATTTAGTTCGTGAGTTTTCCCATTGAAAATGGTGGATCTTTCCATATAGTTATGTAAACGTTTACCAGGTCGGGTATCATTGACAACCATCTGACCCCAAAATGGGATGTCAACAGTCCCAATGGCCCCGAAAGCTTCCTGGCCTCGCCAGGGACCAGGAGCTCACCAACCTGCCAGGGGCTGTCTCGTTCCTTTCTTGAAAGGTGATGTTAAAAGCAAGGGCAAGGGGAAGATCCCACAGTTTTTGATGGTGAAATACATTATCTTTATTGGTTGATTACATTAAGATCTATCTTTTATTGGAAGCAGTTCACAAACCACCTGGCTACTCCTTGTGCCACTGCGGAGCCACAGCGGACACGGCTTTGAAATCTGCTGCGGACACGGCTTTGAAATCTGCTTGTTCACCAGAAGTATCCTAGTTTGTGGGTTCAATTCAACCTGCTAACCTCCGGTAATCAAAAATGGCAAAGGACATCCCCTACAAGTGGGCATTTAATATGAAATTCATCTCTGTATCTCTCTCTCTCTCTCTCTCTCTATTCATCTACAAATGAGTACAGTAATTTCCACTGCCATGTTTGATCACCAGCGGGTATTGCTTGAGTTCGCATACTTAGGGTGCGCGGTTGGTTCTATCTACAAAGAATGTACACGTGCTTCTGAGAACTTCTTGTTGGTTCAGAACTAATTACATGTAAATCACGAGAATTTATGTTGCTGCAATTTCCACAATTGGGTGCTTCTCGATGCCATGGGATGCCCCTAAACCCAACAGCTGGTTTTCCACATAAACAGAATGACCAATCAGCTGGAAGATTTGGTCTCCCCAAATGGGACTCTGGGACAAGCCCCAAAAAATCGCCATTCAATGCATTGAATTCCAGAAAGCTCATCGCACATGAAGTCAAGTTTGGCAATGTGCTCCATCTATTGTGGGCTGAAGCCATAATATTCTGGTACAATCAAGGATGAACTGATTGATGAACAAAAAACATGTTAAATCAATGAGGAGTTCCCCAAAACCATGATCATTCTTAGCTTAAATGGATGGAGATGGACCCCAACCAATATTGATAAATTCTGACGTTTCTGCGTCTGCATGTCTTTTCTTGGAGAAGATCCGAAGCTTTGATGGTCAAAACATGCTGAACCAAGACTTAATCCATGAAACTTACTCTATCCCATCCCATTGTATTGGTTGATAAAGTTGATAAATGGGTATCCGGATGAAATGGGGTACCCTAGATTAACAAATCTCACAAATCAACAAAGGTATTCTTGATATGTTTGAATCTGTTTGAATGGCTACCATGTTTGAATAGTACGGCGTCCCCATATCTTTGATCTGATCGTCAAACCCCTGCAACCCCCCTATAGTTGATGGTCAAATCCCATTTCCAATAGTCCCATTAAACCCCATCAAATCAGATCCAATCCCATTAAATCCTATCAAATCCCATCTAATGACACTCCCATCAAATCCCATCCAAGACCCATCAAATTCCACTACACTCCCATCAAATCCCATCCAAGACCCATCAAATCCCAACACTCCCATCAAATCCTCCTAAAACCCATCAAATCCCATTGAACCCCACATGATTTTCCCATCATTTCTGCTGATTTCCCGCATCTCAAGCGGTGGTCGCGCCCGCCTTGCATCGAAAGCTGGCCACTGCCATGCGCTGCTCGGGGAACTTGGTTGCCAGGAGGTACAACGTCCAACCTCCGGGAAACACAGACGTGGGGAAGTCCACTCCAAACCTCTGCCAGGTGTGAAAAAATGGGATTATTTCCTCGGAAATCCCACATGTTTTTTCAGGGTGTGATTAACTATTCAGGGACTTTTTGGGCTCTGAGTGGTCAGGTGCTGTTTTTCCATGCGAAACTGGTTTCGTCCCAATGAATTCATGGAAATCTATACGCGCAGCTCACAAGGTAAACCGTTTAAACCTTGCGGACCTTGGTGTTTTTCACGACCCTCAAACCTGATTTCTCGATCTCATCAGAGTTTATCATCTTATAGAATAAATTGTCTGATTATCAAATTATCTTTTATTATCGTGCATATTGACTATATCTGCGTCTGTATAATAAACTGCTACAAGGTAGTGCCGCAGTGCCCCAGTGATTGGTTTATAAACGCCATTAACTAGCTCGTTACATCCCCAAAAACCATATATATATATAGTTAATATATAGTTATAGAGCAACATAAACCAACTTAGTTGTCTCAGATAGTTATGAGCCATTGTTTCTCTAGCTTTTAATAGTTACCCTCCGGTAAACTAACATAACTACGGAAAATCACAATTTTCAATGGTAAAATCCACTATAAATCTCCATTTTAAATAGCTAAGTTAAATTACCAGAGGGTATCCCCCATAAATCCAACAGTTATTTAAGTTATTTAAGCGTCGTGCCTTGCCCAGGATAGACCTGTACAGGTGACAGGTGCAAGATCGACGGCTGCGCAAAGACCTGACGCGAAAATGGAGAGCAAATTGCTGACCAAACCCATAGGATCCATGTATGGTATATATGCTAACATTGGGGGTATATTGATGGCAAATGTTAGCATATATACCATACATGGATCCTATGGGAAACTGAGGAAACACAAAGGACATCAGCATTTCACATGAGGAAATTGTGCAATACGGAAAACTGGAGAAAGAAAATAATCTGAAAAAAAAACAACAACTCATGGAAAACAACACAGGAAACTCAATAAGATAATACTGCATAGATAAAATACTGTAAAGATAATAATATATATATATAATATTTTATGTTTATTTCAATATAATATATATATATATACAAATTGTATGTATTATATATATATATACGTAATATAATCTACCATCAAAACCGATGCTTGTTTGTCTGTTTTTGCTGCTTTTAAGTTTTCAACCTTGCAAAGTGGTGGTTGCTTACTTTAAACAAATGGTGTTTTTTTACAAACATAAATGCGATAACAAACGTGATTTTACCAAGGATTGCGGATTTTGTTTCCAAACACCAATATGGGGAATGTACGAATGAGTGACAATAAACGCATGCTTTTTCCGACGACCATAGATTTTGTTGCAAACCAAAAATTGTGGTTTCACCAATGAAATTTGCGATTTCATCCACCCAAACTGGATTTTAACCACTCAAATATACGTGGATGCCGGACGCGTGTTGGTTAGGTCACCAACCCAAAGCGCTGACCGTGTGAAGCAATGAATCAATCCACATGTGCCTCAATCATCAGGGGCAAAGTGAGGAAGTTGAAATCTGGTGCCTGGCCAAGCAGCGGCGCCAAGATAACTCGGATTTACCACCAACCTATGGCTAGTTTCCGAATCAGACAGTCAGAAAGCAGCGCATTAGGATTATCGGATCCACAGTCAAAAACCCATCATTCACGATATTTCATCGCTGTCAAATAGCTACAGTATTTTTCTTCGCCAAAAAAAAAACAGAACTATTTGGCACCACTTTTAGTCCCCACAGGTTTGGTAAAAAACCAAAGTTTTTTTCGGCCTCCGCGATTTGCAGGGCATAGGAGCCAGGGGCTCCGATGGCCACAGGACAAGAAATGCCTCACAGGAACGAACTTGGCGGCTTGGCGGATGGATGATTTGGGGATAAGATGGTACGAGTCTCCATACCCATAGGATTCATGTATGGTATATATGCTAACATGGATCCCATCAATATACCCCCAATGTTAGCATATATACCATACATGGATCCTATGGGATATAGTATTTGCATGATTTTGCCATCATTTTTTTTGAAGCACATGAAAAATAGGATGCCAAGATGCCAAGGGGCATAAATAATCATTTAACTGGTTGGTGGTTTCAACCATCTTGAAAAATATGAAAGTCAATGGGAAGAACTATCCCATATATTATGGAAATACATTTTTTCCAAACCACCAATCATTTAAAGAATGACACATGACATAAATTCTATGGGTCCATCGTTTCGCCATGTTTTTCGCCATGATGAGGGATCTCGAAGGGCCCCCGGGACCCCACCACGGCCCTGGACGAGGTGCTGTCGTTGGTCAACTTGGATGCAAAGACCTTGGGTCAGGCTGAGGAACATCGATAGTTACAAAGTGGGGACCCCAATTGATCGCCAAGTTGAATTCTAACTCCAAATAACTATGCTGGTTTATGATACTTATATAACTTACAGCTATAGTATAACTATGGTTAATGGCCTTCAAAGGCCAACTTATAACTGGGAGGTCCCACATTGTACCACAATGCTATAGGACTAGCTGCTAGCAGAGGCACGCTTTGTTCTGAAGCTCTCTCTTGTTTGAACTGCACGTCTGCTCTGGTCAAAGGTATATTCCAGTTGCAAGGAATCAAATGATGCATTCAACCACCCCATGAGGGAGTCCGTAACTCGCATCAAGTTGTTGCTAAACACGAGGCAGGGCACATCTGTCTGATCAGCATATCCTGCACTGGCGACTAAAGCAATGCCACAAACTCCAAGAATTAAATCAACTCACCCACTTTCAATCTTTCAATTATGGTATGACTTCAAACCACACGTCTAATCATCTTAAACACGGGAAAACAAATGGGCAAGTAAATATCCACCCACCTAATTTTCCTACTTTCATTTAAGGTATATACCTACATTTGGGTGTTGCCTCCAATAGGCATGCTCTTCAAATCATCATCCCAAATTAGATCAGCTTTTTTTTTTAACACACACACACACGTGTTTTTGATCAAATACCTATAAATGTGCCATGGTCCTTTCTGAAGCTGGCCATCCTCATCCCTAGAAAAAAGTCACTTTCGTAAAAAATCCATGGCTGAAAACATGGCATTAGTCCCCCATGGCGGCCATTTTTTGTGCCGCCAGGTGACCTGCTGGCCATCTGGAAACAAGCGACAGGCCAGGCCGTTCTGCGGCGGCACCGAAAAGGTGATGATGTACGCCTCGGACGGCTAAGAGGTCTTGGGATCAGAGGTCTACTGAGTTGGGATGGTGATTCATGGTGATTCATCGCCATTGAAGTGCTTATGAATTGTGTTTTTTGCTATTGATGGTTATTGATGGTTACTAGTGGTTATTAATGGCCAATGTGGTAAACCCATGTAAATCCAACATCAAACTTGGCTGGGAAATGGATCATTTGCTGCTAATTATCAGCCATGAGCCAGGCAGTGCCCCGTTATAAGTTGGTGAACCCAATGAACTGGTGCGTGCAGTATCCTCGTATTATCCCCATAATCAACCTTAGTTGACCATAGTTCAATGGCCATTTCAGGAACCTAAATTAGAGGTACCTAACATATCTAAGGCCTATATTTATATATATACATATGTGTGTATATATATCAGGCATAAATTTCAGGGAATATCCCCACAATTCATATGGCCAAAAATATGGTACGTTTACATACCTCCATCTGTTGGATCCTGGAGATCTCCCATTGAAGAGTTGACCAAGGCACTGAATCGTTCAAGGGAAGGGCATCTGGGACCACGGACACCACCTGCAGCATTTGTCGACTCATTGGACCGAGAAAAGGCTCAAGGCAGGTACACGATAAAGGCTGCCATACAAAAATGGCCATCCAACATTCGAAGTCATTGACTCATCGAACAGGTTTACCCTCTGGTAATTTAACATAGCTATTTTATAGTTGATTTACCTATTAAAAATGGTGATTTTCCATAGCTATGTTAGTTTATTAGAGGGTAAGTGCTTTTTCAGTGCTACATGTTACAGGAGCCCACCGAACGACTAAAAATGGTCAAAACCATGGTAGAGTCACCGATGGGTTTCCTGTGGATTTTTCCGAGCTTTTCACCGGGCCTCCCATATGGAGTAGAGATTGTCCACATCATCCTGGACGACGCGCCACCGAGCCAGTCATCTCGGGTCTGGGGAGATCCCGTGTATCCGATGTTCCGGAAAAGATCATGTGGGTAAAACAATGCCATACACCCACCATTACCCGGGAAAATCACCATTTTTTGCTTGGTGGTATGTAGAAACCATTCCGAGTCATGGGTGGTTTATGGCATTGTTTTAACCACATTAGCTTTTTTTTATTTGGAAGTATAGCCAGTATAGCTCCAAGATATACGGCTCACATGTCATAAGCCCTGGAATCTCCTTCGCATCCCAATCCCAACATGTGGCTATGAGTCAAAACCATGTAGTTCGGTGAGCATGTCTCTATTATTATATATTGCAATATAGAAGCATAGATGTTTAGGCACAATCACATGCCCATTTGTTGGTTTGTGTGGCTTAGTTTCTGTGTTTTTTTCACCAATAGCCACGTGCCAACAAGATGTGCCAAGGATCTGTCGTGCTGGTAGTGGAAACAGGTTGCCTCGGAGTACAATGTGGTGCCCCTCAGTTATAAGTTGGTTTATAAGCCCCATTAGCTATAGTTATAAGTACCATAAACCATAGTTATTGGAGTTATAAACCAACTTAGCTAACTATGGGGCACCACCTTGTATAGCTTCAGCCACAGCTGTTCTGAGTTGTTCTTTGCACAGATTGTCCAAAATCTCACTTGTAGAATCAACCCCAGAGTCCCCAGAGGGTACGGGCCAAGATTCGCTTGGGACCTATGCGACAGTAGGGAACCACGACTGTCACAATCACGGTGCACAGAACTTGGATGAGCTTGGTAACTCTTTAGCACTTACCATCCGATGATCAGATCACCACGCCCATATCGATGATTATTAAATGTAATTGATACCCTTTTTGGACATGCCAACGTCGCTGAACATGCCCCCAAAAATCCCAAAGCATGGGTCTTTGGATTGGGAATGAGATTCAAAACATCTGCGCACTAGTGCCCGTCAGAGAAACCCAAAAGCATTCAGAGTTTGGAATGCTCTACCTGGTGGTTTTCCCGCGGTTTGCAAGAGGGTTTTAGCCCCAGTGAAATAACTGACCCACTACACGGTGGTGCCCCATAGTTAGCTAAGTTGGCTCATCCCTAGCTTAACTCTTGGTTTATCCCTAATCTAAGCAGAAAAGTACCAAATAGGGGCCCCAAGCTGCCACGTTTCTAGAAATACAATACTTTTGGAACATCATAGTTTTGTCTATCATTGTTTTCCATATGTTGATCGAATCTATGCATATCCCATATTATGTCCCATATTAGCTCCCATATATTTGTTCTGTCCTCAGTATATCTCCATATATCTCCATAAGATCTTCATTTTCCGCACTTCAAATCCACTATCTTCCCAAGTAAACTCACGATTTTCATCCGTTTTCCCCAGGAAAATCCCGCCGTTTTTCCGATGTTTTTCCCGTGACGAAGCCGCCGTTTTTCTCCACGTTTCTGTCACGACGACCCGTCTCCCGGGGGGGTCCCGGTGAAATGCGAGGCGCGGATCGAAGCTGCGCTGCGGCGGCACGGTGTCCAAGGCGGGCTCCGGTGGAGGAGGCTGGCAGAAAACCTGCAGGGGATGAGGTCCCGTTGGTTGGTGGTGCAATGTGCCCATCCTGATGACATTTATAGTGGATTTACCCATTAACAATGGTGATTTTCCATAGTTTTTTGTATGTTTACCAGAGTATAATAACCCATTAACCATCTGGTTGGTGTAATATACTGTTAATATATGGTTAATATTAATGGTTCTTCTATATTCTTATATGGTTAATGATGGCTAATAATCTGGTGGTACAATGTGCCCATCTTGAAAAATGATGGAGTTCGTCAATGGGAAGGATGACATCCCATTTATTGGGACCCATATATATATATATATATATATATATGGCCCATATCCCATATGTCAACTAACAGTTTACTGGGAAACTAACAGGTGATCTATTGGGATTAAGATTTATTTTTGTGATATTTTTGGTGATGTTTTATGTGTGATATACCCTCTGGTAATTTAACCAGGTCATATATTGGTGGTCCAATGTGCCCATCCTGAAAAATGATGGAGTTCGTCAATGGGAAGGATGACATCCCATATATTATGGAAAATAAAACATGTTCCAAACCCCCAACCAGGTTATATAGTTATCAGTTATCAACCATATCTATGGGTCATTTTCCATAGCTATGTTAAATAACCAGAGGGTTTTTCTAGTTATAGATTCCCCAGTCATGGTTGATCAAATGGTTGATTCCATTAAGATCATTCAAGATCTACCCTCTGGTAATGACTAACAGTTTGCGAACTTGAACATGGCCAATTTAGTTCGTGAGTTTTCCCATGAACAAATGGTGGATATTTCCATAGTTATGTGGCTGTTCCCCAGAGGGTAACAATGTGAAAATAACAACAGTTAACATGTTAACAATATTGATTAAACAACTGGTAATTCCAACTATAGTTTAACAACAAAAATATTATTCTGGTAATTCCATAGTTTTATATAGATTCTTCAACAATATTAGCTGACAACTGGTAAAAAACACACCAGATTATGGTTCAATAACAATATTAATTCTGGTAATTTAAATGTAATCAATAGTGTTCAGATCAATTGTTGTACTAAAAGTTTGATGATGTTAATACCGTTTTTTGCACTAATTCAATAATTTAGATTGAGTTTAGTATTGTTTCTGCTGGTGATGAACAGTTTAATAACAATATTTGTAAGAATGGTCTCTGTAATCACCACATTCTGTAATCAAATAGTTTAAGATGGTGGTATTATTTCTGATGGATTTCTGACTAACAGCATCTAACAAGGTTGTTGATGAATAGACAAATATATATATATAATTATTTATATATATATATATATTTATTTATTTAATGATGCTATGGTTTCTGAAATAATTGAAAAACTTAGATGGTTACTGAAACTAATTTAAGGTTCTGTAACAACATTACTTGGCAAATGGTAATAGCAAATGACAATAACAAATGGCAATAACAGTATTGCGGATATTATGTAACAATATTGATGAATAATATTGAATAATAGTATTGTTTCTGTTGCCACCATAGTTAATATATGTTAGTATTATGCAACAATATCCCTATCAAGACCCTGCGGTTTGCATGCAATATTGGTAATAACACATGGTTTGATGGTGTTGATGACAAATAAAAACTATACCTACTGTTGGTGGTATTGTTTCTGTTGCCACCATGACATTTAGTTTCCGCTTGTGTCATGCTGTGGTACTATTATCCAAAGGACCCATATGAAGTTTCTCCCAGGGATTAAACAGCAATAGTACTAATGAAAAGAACAACCAAACAAAATAGTGAATTGAAATTATTTTGCACACATACATATGTACATATATATATATATATATGTTTCACTCCGTCGGGCGAAAGTCGCATCGCGTTCAAACTCGAAGTTGACTGGATCAGCTCAGGGGACAGTGGGAGGGTGTATCGAAGGAGGACGAGCCGACGAGGCACCAGCGAAGGTCCCTCCGGCCTTTGCACACATACACATATGTGTACATATATATATATCACCACCTATTTGTATATATATGTGTTGCATATAATTGTGTAAAGCAGAACCTAAGGAATATAAATGTTATACTATGTAAGATGCACATTCAAATAGGATACGTGGGTATGGGTCAAAGTTCACTCCAAAGTAGTTGCTAGTTCGTCCTCCCACTTTTATGTAAGATTGAGGGTGGGCACCAAAGGTACCACCCTTAAACAATAGAGGCTTAAACCCCAGAGGATGATGGTGGTTAACAAGACCTAAATTTTAGCATTGCAGTAATCTCCAGCAAAATAAACATGTCAAATTAACTACGTTTCTTAGTCGGATTCTACTTAATCTTTTCAGAAGGGCTACTATCGGTACTATGTCTGATCGGTTGACATCTTCATCAAACGATAGGAATCTTTTTTGCTGACTCAAGATTGATAATACAAACACGGTAAACTTCAATATGAAAGGCCCCCACTTCTGCCTTTCAGGTCCCTCTTTAGCCGTTCTACTGGAACTCCCCAGTTTCATCCAGGCTTGACATTTCAATGGATTGGTTTAGTCGGGAAAATTTTAGCCGGAAACCATAGATTTTCCCATTAAGATCATGGGGCTTTCCGGTTAAGATTTTCCCTTAGACCAATCCATTGATATACCATATCCCATTCATATCCCATTGAATCACTATAAAATTCCATTACCCTCTGGTAAACTAACATAACTATGGAAAGATCCACCATTTTATAGCTGGGAAAATCCACTATAAATCACCATTTTCAATAGCTATGTTAGTCATAACCAGAGGGTAAATCATTGTAAATTCCATTTTTCACGTTGCCATCATTGCCCCTTGGTGGGATCCCAAGAGTCCCGTTTTTGCGTACCACATGCCGCCTGCGTATCCTTGCACTCCTGACACATCGGCATCGATCCGTATGGTTCTGGTGTCAGTTCTGTGTGGTGATGGCTATGGTTCTGTGAATATCCCCACAACAAAAACGGCCAACAAATAATAAAAAATGCCAAAAATATGGTACACTGGTACAGTACAAAAAAAAAACAAAATCAAGATTGGTGTTGGCTACAACCTCACCACAAGCACCAGGATGGATTTGCATGAGATTTTGGATTCTTCGGAGTTTCATGGTCTTAAACCATCACACACGGAAATCAGGAGATTTTTTTTAATTATGTCGCTGTTCCTACTCATAAAACCTTCTCGGTGTCTACATCCCACTTACTACTCATCCACTAACTCCATGCTTGACTCAAACTGAACACCGGACCATGACAAACATGCCGACAGCCGGACACTCCACAGCCGCACCATCAAATGGCTGACAGTTGGTTGATATAGCGCGAATTCACTGCCAGGAATCTTCACACAAAACAATCATCTGGTTGGTGGTTTCAACCTCTCTGAAAAATATGAAAGTCAGTTGGGATCACTATTCCCAATATATGGAAACACTGTTCCAAACCACCAGCCAGATCATGATTACAAATACATACACATACTTTAGAATGTGCTATAGCACCCCTCCCGAAACAATAGCATGGAGAAGTTACATGTTAGTAAAGCAGTGGTAACCTACGTTCCCTTAAACGCTTACACTTACTTGTTCTATCTGTGCTGGTGCTAATGGAGAGTATAATGCTGCAAGGTGGGACCCATAGTTGCCTAAGTTAGCTTATAAGTAGGTTAATTGTCAGGTTATGGTAGGTATATCTACAGTTCATGTTATTTCCAATCAACTTGCACCTTGCACTGCAGGGCACCGCCTTGTAGCTGCTTCTTACCCCTGATAAGTAACCGTGTGGGGCATAAGTTTTGATTAGGCGACCAAGTTATGTTTGTTGGTTTATAAATACTGTGAAGAATATAGCTAGAATTATATATATATAATATATATATAGCGCCTATAAATCCATATACCATCTGGTTATTTAACATAGCCATGGAAAATCACCATTTTATAGCCAGGTAAACCATCTATTTCTATGGGCCCTTTCCCATGGCTATGTGAAATAACCAGAGGGTACTGTATATAGCACCTATAAATCCATATAAACTCCAATGTAGCTCCAATGTAGCTATCCTCAACAGAGGCCCACCCTAGCAGCTCCTCGGATGTATCTTCCGCTAAAACCGTGGTCACCTGCAGTGATTTCCGGTGACCGACCCTGGGGTTGTCGTGAGAATTTCTGCAAATCATGGGTTCAAAAACGGAGATATAACATGATTAACATGTTTAATTAATGTTATAAATCATTAGTGATATATAATGTTAACCGGAGATATATCATGATAGAATTAAACATAATCATGGGTTCAAAAACCGGTTTATATCATTTAATTATATCATTAAGAATTTTATTAATCAGTTTATATCATTTCTATCGGACTTGGCTCCACTCGGAAATTGGGGATGATTCAGCAGCAAAACAAATGAAACGGGATGTGATCGTCAGTCATCAGGGTGGCTCAATTCAATCAAAACTCATAAAACTCCACAAACACCGGAGCGTTGAAAACAAAATAGCTCAGTGATGTTTTTACGGTTAGGATCTTACGCTAAAAAAACCCTCCAAAGGGTTCCATCAACTAAGCAGCTACACTCCATGGAAGTAGTAGCTATGCATATTTTTCTTTTGCGATTTCCGGGCCGAAACGGATATTGCTCCCATCCCACCCAAAATAACATGGAGTTCCCATCAAGTACAATGTGAGCCCCCTACATAGCTAAGTTGGTAAGCATAACTCAAGCTGTTTACGGGGTGATACAATGTGGTGCCCCCCCAGTTATAAGTTGGTTTATAAGCCCCAGTAACTATATGTTAGTTATAAGTACCATAAACCATAGTTATTGGAGTTATAAACCAACTTAGCTATCGAACGGGGGCCTCACATTGTATATACATATAGAACTATAGTTAATGCAGTCACCTTGATTCACCTTGCAATGCTTGGTGAACATTCAAAATATGTGGGATATACATGGGATACATATTATGTTATATTATATTATATCATGTTATGTTGTATTAAATTAAATCATATTATATATATATTATATCATGTTTTATTAAAATATATTATTATATTTTATATCATGTTTTATTAAAATATACTATTATATTTTATATATACATAATATACTACATATAATGCGGGGGATGGGTATGCTGTGCCACACAGCCTGTAGTGTCGGCGCAGCGACCTCAAAGGAGGCAACTGATGCGAAGTTCGGAATTTGATGCTGGGATTATTTATGGAAACACATAGGATCTACCAGTGGATGTTTATCCCATGGAATTGGTATGTTAATGGTTAATGCATGATAATGATAGATCTTAATGTGAAAAAATATTAAAAATAGGGTCATAGTTGGATCTTAGTTCAATTTAATGAATGGAACTTATTCGCACTTAGTGGAAAACACTTGATACCAATGGACAACAATGGGTCGTGATGGATCATAATGGATCTCAATTGATACGGACATATCATGGGAATGGGCTCATGTTTATGATATTGCAGGAAGAGGCACCCTAGTTGTGTACTGTATAAGTTGCCTTATGTTGCCCCATCTTGGCTTATGTTGCCTAGTTATAAAGTATAAGTAACTTATCTTGGGGGCCCCTTCTAGTGGTTAGTAACTGGATTCCAGCCCAGTTGGTTTTTGGCTGGGGAACACCCCAGAGCTGGCTAAGGGATTAACTACGTTTAACCTGTAGATCTTCTGTTGAACTGAGCGGGATACACGCAAATGAAAATGAATATGGAAATGGATGAACATTGTAGTTTGAAACACCGAAGCCTGTCTTGCAACTCCAGCAGCCAGCTTAGTCTAATGATTCGTGAGTTTTTAGAGGTGGATCACTGATTCCAGCTCTGATGGGCCGAACTTCAAAGTCGAACTTCAAAGGCAGCAACCTACAATGTGGTGCCCCCCAGTGATGTTTGTTGGTTTAGATTCGCCCCAGTAACTAGTTCGTTATAAGTACCATAAACCATAGTGAAATTGGAGTTATGTGAACCCCAACTTAGCATTCTCCAACGGGGGCCTATAACCATTGTATCAGCCCCCTAGGAATAGCCCCGATGGGCACGCCCATCTGTTAGAGGCAACCCGTCAGGGTCGAGCGCAAACCCGAAAATCGATGTCAGTTATGTGGTCGCCACCCGGCGCCAAGCAACTCGTCCAAAGGTTATCTTCTTCTTGGCATATGCCTGTGAGAGCCAAAAGGTGGGAAACAAATCTTTGGAGGTGGAAAAGGTGGGGAAAAAACTGAGCGAAACTACGTCGGAGCTTCCCAATTCGAATTGTTGAGCCCAGGACCCAGGACCCTCCATATTGGCTCCGAAAAATCATCGATCCAGGACTGTTTCCGTCCAAAAATCCATGACGGAGAATCTGGTATTACCCCCCCAAATGGCATTTGAATAGATACGATCATTAACTTGGTGTTCTCCCCAAAATGATCAAAACGTTCGGAGAAAGCTGCTATGTGTGTACACACACACATATATATATACACATAACACACACACATATATATATATATATTATACATATATACATATATAAGTAAATAAATAATATAATATATATATACCATCACCAAACCCCTGGCATCCACCTGCAGAACATTGGCGAAGATCAGACCCAGTTTGGAGCTGGTGGCTACTGGGGAGGTGATGTTGCAAAGGGCGCGCTTGTCGGACAACAGCACGGCAGGGCTACCTGACAAGCCCAGGTGCACCAGCAACCAACAACTAAGAAGGGATTTTTCACCAGCAAACATGGAAACTGTTGTAATTGGTATAGTTGATTTTTGATTACGGTAAGTTGGTTGAAATAAGTAGGCTAACTGAGCCAACTGTTGGGTGGGTTTGTAACAAATACTTCTAACTGTTTGTAGTTAGTTGGTTGAAATAAGTAGGCTAACTGTTGACTCGGCTTGTAACAAAATAACAAATACGTCTACGTACCATCTGGTTATTTAACATAGCCATGGAAAATCACCATGTTTAATAGGTAAACCATCTATAAATGGGCAATTTTCCATGGCTATGTTAAATAACCAGAGGGTAACTGTTGACTGTTTCTGTACTGTTGGGTTATAAACCAACTTGGCTATCTAAGGCTTCTGCGGCGCCACCGTATGTTGTTTTTTGGACATCACCTGGGTCCAATCAGCCTGTGGCAATATGGTGGCGCAATATGGCAACAATCATATGATGGTTTCCTGAAATAAGGGTACCATTATAAACCCAAATCATCCATTTATATCATTTATAGATGGGATTTTCCATGAAATAAACCAAGCATTACCCGTACCATTATAAACCCAAATCATCCATTTATATCATTTGTAGATGGGATTTTCCATGAAATAAACCAACCATTACCCGTACGATTATAAACCCAAATCATCCATTTATATCATTTATAGATGGGATTTTCCATGAAATAAACCAACCATTACCCCCATGACAATGGAAACCATATGGTTATGCTGTAGTCATATGGGGACGCCGATGGGAATTCTACCCGGCCCAGGCACGATATCCATCACCACCCAGGGTGCATTCGACAACTGAGTTGTTCTCCTGGCGCTCCCATTTCTGGTGGCCAAATTCTTGAAGTTATGGATATATTTATAGTTAAGTTAAGTTGTTAGTTGTCAATGGAGATTTGTTTGAGACATTTATACTGAACTTATATCAACTACTTAGTATACAGCAAATGGGGATTTGCAGTTGGTATATATAGTATATAAATGGTTCAACTATATACTAAGAATAAATTTCTTAGCTATGGCTATATCAGCGTAGTATATCAAAAAGTAAATATTGCAACCCCGAAAAAGGTAGAATAGGTTCAATCTATCACTACTTTAGTAGGTCTTTGCTTTTCATTTGTTTCAGAACTGTTTAAATATATATATATATATATATATATATTTACACATATAGACATGTATAAGTTATCTCCACACCAGAAATGGCTCCCTTTTTTAAACCAGGATATCTTGCACCATGCCCAATTCGAGGTTTAATTGCCAGGTTCACCACATGTCTTTGATGTCTATGGGCCTTGTGAAGGTACCGGATCAATGGCTATTGAAAATGACCATAGAAATAGTGGATTTTCCCATTGAAAATGGTGATTTTCCCATCAGTTTTTTGTATGTTTACCAGAGGGTACTTCACAGCACTCCCCGAGAGCCGTGACAAGTACTGCCGCGGCCTGTGGGAGGATGTGGGGAAATCGACGCCCAAAAATCTCCACCAAGAAGGTTTCACCTTGCCGACCCACATGGAAATCAGCTGGACGCTGGACAGCTCCACGTTCTGACTCAGTTTCCATACAAGGTGGTACCCCCCCAGTGATGTTGGTTGGTTTATAATCCCCATTAACTATAGATATAACCCCCATTCATCAACCCTAGTTATTGGACTTATGAACCAACTTAGCTAACGAACTGGGGCACCACCTTGTATTTCTCAGCTCCAAATCTATGGTTCAAACGTCAGAACGAGATCAAAATGGATGGATTTTCAGAGGTGATTGATTTGTGTCTCCCTCTCAGAAACCTTCACCCTAGACTTGATTCCTAACTTCAGGGATATGCCATGTATATATATATATATATACAGATATACATATATATATATATATCCATATTCATGTAGATTCCATGTGCTCCAAGTATTCTCTTTGCATATTTTCCCACATTTGACTAGTGATTTGTGGGTAAATGTCAGCAAATATTTCATGGAACATCCCAGCATGAAAGTGGTTCATATCCCCATGTTTTGAAGCTTAAGGACTCCTTGGCTAATTATAAAAATCGTTGGGGCTACCTGTAGTCATACTACTGCTGATAATAACACTACTACAATGGGGGTTTCCTAAAATGGGTGGAAAAACCCAAAGCATCCATTTATGGGAAACCCCCATTGTTTCCATTTTAGGTTTGTGTTTGTGGGTGTGTTTTTTCCCATAAGAATGGAAAAACATCGGGTTTATGCTGTTTTTTTCCATGTGGTTCCATCATTTTTCCATCCAGCTACCCTCTGGTAATTTGTCACATAGCTATTGAAAATGACCCAGTCGAAATAGTTTATTTTCCCATTAAAAATGGTGATGTTCCCATCAGTTTTTTCTATGTTTACCAGGTCTTTTGTAGCTGGAGTAGCACCATGACTCTCTTCCAATCCTGCAGCGATTCCAGTGATCCCAGCGCCCCCACCGGCGATGCCAACTTTCGGATAGAAATCCAGGATTTGTGGCGCCAAAGAGGCCTTGGAGTTGGTTGCTACCCTCTGGTGAGGCCTAAGTTGGTTTATAAGCCCCATTATGCCATTAAGTACCTATACACACAAATATATATATATATATATATGTGTGTATTATAAAGGAAAAACATGGCTTCAACCAGGGCTTCAACATTAAATGCAGTGAACTGCATATATATATATGTATAGATATATTAGATAGATAAACAATTATATCACATATATATATATATATTGACCTTTGGTTTTAACCAACTTAGGTCCCAGGGGTATCATCTTTCAGCTTCAATCCTAAGGGCCACTGGGATTTTCTGCTGGTTGCTAAGGCTTTCGCAATAGACCATGGAACCATCCATAGTATAAACCACTTGGAGATTTCCTAAGATGGTGGTACCCCCAAATCATCCATGTATAGATGGGATTTTCCATGAAATAAACCATGCAGCTATGGGGGTATCCCCATTTATGGAAATCCCCACTTGTTTACCACCAAAATAAAATTTCATGAGTCATCAGGCTAGATGCATTTTTTGATTTACCAGATTCACCGGGTAGAGGTAGTATCAACCAGTATAGGCCCAATATATGTGCCATGATCAAAACATGCTACATGGTTTAGGGATTTTTATGGTCATCAATCCCCCTATGGGAATGCAAACATCACGGATACTACCCTCTGGTTATTTAACGTAGCCATGGAAAATCACCATTTTTCATAGGTAAACTATCTATAACTGGGCCATTTTCCATGGCTATGTTAAAAAACCAGAGGGTAACACTTCCTACTGTGATGGATTGATGATCTCCACCAGGGGGTTAGTCTCGCCAAGCGTTTTATTGTAATTGGTGATGTCATGATATCCAGCATCCCATCACCCATAGGATCCATGTATAGTATATATGCTAACATTTGGGGTATATTGATGGTAAATGTTACCATATATAGCATACATGGATCCTATGGATCATACCATCAATAACATCGCATGTCATCGCCTTTTCCAATATATACAATCCAACTTTTGATCATGGCACATAGATATCCAGAACCATAAAACTCCATTTTTTTTTAACGTTGGTTAAACACATATGATATAAAACCATCCAAAAGCGCAACTTTCCGTATGGCACATGGATCATATTAGTCAGGTAGATAAATCCCATTGAAAAAAAACATTTTCCCTCATCGAGTCACCATTTCCCGAGATAAATCCCTATCCTCCGGCAATCTGGCAATGGAAAATGCCCATTCATGGATGATTTCCCATAAAAAACATCCATTTAATTCGGAGATTTCCCAGCTAGGCATGTCATTTTCCCTACTAAATCCATGATATCCCCTACTAAATCGATGATCTTCCCATTAAATCACCCATTAAATCACCATCTTCCCAGTAAAATCACCATCTTATCACTCATTTCTCATCTCAGCTGCCGTCGAGTCGACGGCATCCTCTTGCAGCAAACATCGGGGCACGATCTCCTCCCCCGTGGGCCACTGCTGTGACACTTCCCTGCGACGAAGAGGTGACACTTCCCACGTGGTGTACCTGGACCCTCCAAGTAACTTCCCCAAAAAGCCTGGTTGGTGGTTGGGATTGTATAGTAGTATAGTCAACCCATTAATAAACCCATTAATAAACCCCCAACACTTGTTGAATTGGGTGGGTACCAGTTAAGTATCAGATTATCACTGGTTGGTGGTTGACCTACCCCTCTGAAAATAATGATGGACTGTCGTCAGTTGGGATTATTTTTTGGGATGATGACATTCCCAATATGATGGAAAGTCATAAAACATGTTCCAAACCACCAACCAGAAACATGTTGGAAGTCCTGAGATTAAATTAGTTATGGGGTAACTTTACACCATTTTTTATAGGTGGAGGGTCTAGGTAAAATGATCTGTTCAGTCGGGCCGTGTTGTTGGACCCGTTCGCTACAGCGATGCTTGTCTGTTGTTGCTACATATTTTGATATTACAAGTTGGTGTCATTGAACTTGAGTGTCTGAAATTTATCAATCGCAAATAATAAATGTGAGGGGTCAAGTCCTCTGTATCCGTAGCTGTTCGTAGGTACCAATGACAAAAAATAGCAGAGTGGTTCGTATCTTCCGCACCTCGGCAAGGGAACAATCCATTACAACGGAATCCGGCTTGTTGAAGGTTGTGACCTACTTGCATTCTGTAGGGTGAACCACCGAGGGAGCAGCTCGTACCTTCCCAGCTGACCGCCAGTCCCAACCACCCCAAAAAAGCGGGGCGGCGCCCCACACGGTGGCATCTGAATCTTCGCCACTGCCCGCTAAAGGGCAACTAAAGCCACTGCTACCTTGAGAAGTTAGGAGGGACATGGGGCAGTTCGGAAATAAAGTTCCTTGCAGAATATATAAGTGTACTTCATGAAGTACTGTACATACATATATATATATATAATTATATATATATATATGGAAAATTACATTGTTTATATAATTCCATATATATATATATGTATATTATAGATATGTAGCAGTAGCAATAGTCAGGGGTAATCCCAACCTCATGTGGTCATTACGCCAGGGTTAGATAAACAAACTAAGATAGCCCCAACTGCACCCGGAAGAACCCGCAGATATTTTCTGATGTTTCAAGTACCTCAATTGGAGGTCAAGTTGCAAATACATCCGGTTGAAGATATAAATTTCAGGACATGGAATGATATACAGAACGTATGGCACAGTACCACATTTCGGAGACCTGCTAATGGGCCGTTGTCGAAAAACTGGCCTGTAGTGAAGTTTGATGTTTAACCCCATGTTTGATGCTGAAGTTCCTTTTTTTTATGATTAACAGATCCAATTTGTCATGGTTGACCCACTCAATTTGCCAGCTGTTCCCCCCAATTTCGGACAGTGTCCAGCCCCCCACCACCACCACCAAGGTGCTGTAGTACTGCGCCAGTTCAAGACCTTCGACCAAGGCTGTGAAGCCTAGGGAAGCTTCACGCGGATTTCTGTCGAGAGGATTCATGGGCTGAGGTTGGAATGCTCTCCAATACATGGGTCTGGCACACCCTTTATCATCACTTTCCATTGGACTTTCCATTGGTTGTAAAGGGGGTTAACCCCTCTAGTAATCAACCAACCAGTAGGAAAAGGACATCTATGGCATGTGGCAAAGGGGTATGGCATAGCAAATCAAATTCACAATGGGGGGATTCTTCGGTGGAAGAACCACAGTAGCATAGCCAAGGGGCATAGAAGGTATCGCCATGCCATGCGTCACAGTGTGCCGCAAATCAAGCGCTAATCGCGATCATGGCGGCACAAGGGGGTTGAGGGCAGGCTTTTCTGCAGCAGCCCCAATGATAAGACAAATATTCAAACCCAGCTTCCTGGTAATGACACTGGTGCCACAAGTTGCCATGGACAAATTTGGTGTATCGACATGGAACCCACCAATGGCTAGTTCTGCTCCAGTCATCTTCGAAAATGCAAATGTATCTTCATGTCTCCCTGACCTGAGGTCAGGTTCTCTGGGAAAGAAACGCACACACACATATATGTATACATACATATACAGATATATATATATATACATACATATTTACATAGTATAAATATATTCACCTGATGAAGGGAACATTTAAAATGTCCTATCTCCCGCAGCATGGCCATGTGGCTTGGCGAATGTGCCTTGAGAGCCGAAGAATCGTCCAAGTATCAGTTGAAGGATGCCCTCCCCCCAGTATGGGGCCTAAGAATGAGCCCCATATCCATAGGAAATCTCCTTTTGGGGTTGATTGCCACAGGAAACAGGAAGACAATGGGCTGATAATACAGCCTGAAATGTTGAAAAAGGAGGTTTGATTTGCCAAGCCATGTCTGTTGGAAGTGTTTTACATGAAACCAACACTGGGAAGGCCCTCTCTGAAGAGCATCATAACTTGCACATGGCCTAGCTTATCCCCATCAACAACAGCCCATCCACCAAGAACTCTGCAAACGGCTCGGAATGGCTAGTTCTCAAGCAAGTGCCATCTGTCCCTGCCAACTAACTATTATATAACACTTATAAAATAGCTTATGAACCAAATATGTTTTTTAAAAAATTGTGTACTTCACTAACCTGAAATAAGGCTCACAACCTTCACGGCCCTCCAGCAGAAGCACCCTGATTTCTAAGGCTATGTTGGGATGGGTAAACCCCTACTCACCACAGAAATCTTTGGACATTCCACCAACCAACCCAACCCTATAGGAGCTTGGGATCAATTTGATTTGGCATGGCTGCCATGTCTCCTTTGCCATGCAGTGGCTGTGCATGTCACATATGTCACTCGTCTTTCTGCAAAACATACCATGCCCAGACCATGCCCAGACCTTGCATGGTAAACGCAAGGTGGGTGGCTGGCTCGGATCATTTCGAAAAGGGACCAGGGAACTCCCAGTTGAAGGATCGAAATGTATACACTGTATATCTTCAATGGCCATTCCAGGAACCCAAATTGGAGGTACCTACCATATATAAGGCCTATGTAAGGGCTATGTAAGGGGATATACCCCCAAAATAATGGCCTTATATGGTACAGTTCCCTCCATTTTAGGATCCTGGAATTCTCATTGATATCTGTATGCAGTACATTTCGCTGCATACATTTTAAGTATTGTTGGGGGCAGGTTGCCAATCTATGCCAATCTGCCCGGGTCCCGTTTCAAGTTTCATCACTGCAAGGAGGGTCAACTTTCATCATATCCAAGGGGCGGATCGCAACTGATGATGGGATTTCTGGTGGACCACAAAAGCGGTAAACTGAATGCAAACACGGCAACTAAGACTTAATGTCTATGTATGTTTTTTTTCAAAAGGTTCATACAGCTCCTCTACATGGCAAAATCAGGTATAGTTCATGATTGCATCTGCCATAAAGCATGGATGTAGTGGGGTCAGCTACCCCTAAACCGTGTCACATTGTGCATGGTGACAAATCAATTGGTACCTAGATGGACCAGCTCTGCATCTCCTTTTCTTCGCAGGTCATATGATCTCCCTCCACTTGGCTCTGGCTGCTGGTGAGCCATCGGTGCCTTCAACATCAACATGGATTTTCAACCAATTCCGCCAGGAATTAGGGCGGATGGACCAAAGCAAAGCAGCGAAAAAGGCTACCACTAATCCCTTCCTCCTAATACTAAACGTCCCCCTAATACTAAAAACAGGCATCCATCTCCAATTTCCGAAAATTTCAGTTTGGCCAATTTGACTTTTAATTGATCCCCTTTAAAAAACAATTTAAAAATCAACCTACCATTTGTGGGTTCTCCCCCTAATACTAAAAACTAGTTCACCCCGGGGTGTTTAGTATTAGGGGGGCCTAGTCCCAATCCCTCACTCCAAGCTGCCTAGCTACTCTAGCAATTAGGGGTAAGCTTCGAACTGCCATTTTTGGCAATATTTTAATTGCGTTATATAAGGAAATTTAATTGATTTTGAGATCGGAAAAAATAGTTTTTAGTATTAAGGGTTTTTTAATTTAGTATTAGGGGTAAGCTTCGAACTGCCATTTTTGGCAATATTTTAATTGCGTTATATAAGGAAATTTAATTGATTTTGAGATCGGAAAAAATAGTTTTTAGTATTAAGGGTTTTAATTTAGTATTAGGGGTAAGCTTCGAACTGCCATTTTTGGCAATATTTTAATTGCGTTATATAAGGAAATTTAATTGATTTTGAGATCGGAAAAAATAGTTTTTAGTATTAAGGGTTTTAATTTAGTATTAGGGGTAAGCTTCGAACTGCCATTTTTGGCAATATTTTAATTGCGTTATAAAGGAAATTTAATTGATTTTGAGATCGGAAAAAATAGTTTTTAGTATTAAGGGTTTTAATTTAGTATTAGGGGTAAGCTTCGAACTGCCATTTTTGGCAATATTTTAATTGCGTTATATAAGGAAATTTAATTGATTTTGAGATCGGAAAAAATAGTTTTTAGTATTAAGGGTTTTAATTTAGTATTAGGGGTAAGCTTCGAACTGCCATTTTTGGCAATATTTTAATTGCGTTATATAAGGAAATTTAATTAATTAATTAACATGACTTCGATTTGGTTCCCTAATAATAAATACCCCCCTAATACTAAAAACTACCTGCCGTGTTTTGTATTAGGGGGGGGGGGTTTAGTATTAGGAGGAAGGGATTACGTCAACCCCACTGCAAGGCAATGACATATACTGCTACATACTGCTACCATCTGATGGATGAGGGAGGCATGAAACAAACGAAAGACCATAAATTGCCATAAATGCAATAAATGCATTCGTATCCTGAGCAGTCAAAGGGTTCTTTTGTTCAGGGAGCTGCTTTCCATATCCAAACATCTTTGGCTCCGCCTGTCCCTGGATCACATACATGGCTTCAACAAATTCAACCACAGGACAACTAACTGGACTCAAATAAATAAAGACCACATCTACACAATTTCTATCCAGTTTTACGCAAATTCAATTCTATGGTTCTAAAGGTTGGTCAATGTATTGCATTGTAAAAAAAAATCACGCTTTGAATGAATTCAAGGGCAGCAATGTAGCAAAGCCATGCAAAGCCCACAACCGAGGTGTGCTGTCGCTATGGTAAGCGAACCCAATGACAAACCATCACCCATTCTACCAGAAATGCGGGAAATGGATGCGTTTCCTATCGTCTTATCTTTTGAGTGAACCACAAGTGATTCAATGGCCATGGCTCAGGCTCAAACATGGTGTATGCGTATTTGCTTAAAAGACCACCCTCCAAGAAAAAAACACATGTTCCCTTTTCCCTTTCTCTGGTGGATTTCCCCAGAAAATAATAATCAATATGTCGTAATACACCATACAATCACAATCTCAGCAAGGACGGCCGAATTCTCATCCCCCTCCTGATCCGAACTCCAGACCCATGCCGGCGCAGGTTGCGGGAAAAGGACTCCAATCGGCAACCGCAGCCTATGCCGGGGGCAATGGTGCACTGAAATTCCTTGCGGCATGGCAGTTCAACATTCAACCTGCAAAAATTGGGGATGATACCTGCAAAATCCTGCAAAAATGGGATCAAACTCAGCAAATTTGGGCCTCTGATCTGTATTTAAACATTTCCTCTGATGATCAGTTGCATCACAAAAGGAACGCAAGCATTCGCAAATGATTCTGTCCCTGAGTAGATCTTGAAAGCTTGGGAGATGGGTCTGTCTCAACCAATTTGATGATGATAATTTGCCCATATTTCGCTATACTCTTGGGCCATATTCATGGCCATATATTGAAGATTATTGAAGTACCATAAGTTTCCCATGTTTTCACAGAAATCATCACCAGTTTGGGCCATCCTCTCTGGGCGCGGCCCATTCGCAGTGCCAAGAAACAGTTTAAAGTCGTGACGGGCCGCCAACTTGTCCTGGCTGAGTCTGATTCACCATGGGATTTTAGGGTATCCGACGGGGTATCCTATGTTCAGACAAGCCTTCATGCTTCCAAGATTCCAATCCGTTCAAGAAGGATACCATGTGAATGGAGGAGCACGCAATCCTGATACAACTTTGGTGGATTTTGGTGAGCGCCTGTAGGTATATCGCTTTGGGCATCAGCATTTCATAGTTGGGGCCACAAACTCATGATGATAAACCTGAAGCACGGTTTCCTGTGCCAAGTGTTTGCTATTTGATGGGAACTCATTGGCATTGAAATCCTTGAGATCGCACGGGGAAATAGACTAGGACAACAGAAAGCACACTTTGTACGTGGTCAAGGTTCAAAGCACGACTCTTTAATTTATTCGTAGAGTGCTCACAACACCAAAGACTCACAACATGTGCCCAGTGCCCAACTCTAAGCCAATGGGAGATTCCACTCCACGACCATGTGGAAAGACTTCGGTGGGCTGTACCTCGGGCACTTCGGGCACTGTGGCACTGTGGTACTACGCTCTTCTGCAGGGATCAGTCCAGGCGCATGCCAAGGTGCACGTCGTCATAGAAGATCCCGAACCAGTCACGG